TCAATGCAAGCCTAGGTACGTGCAGGTACATCGGTGGGCGACCCCACCGACATCAGTGTTCAATGCAAGCCTGTTCGTTGGGCTGGTACTTGCAATGAACAACCAGCAACCCTGCTTTCCACATGTAGAAGTTGGTCGATGGCCCTTGATTCCAAATAGGCCTTGCGTAGCTCTTCTAGCTCTGTCTTGGCCACTGCATCATCATGTGGCTCACCGTTGATGAGACAGTGCTGCAGTGCCAGTGCTGCGCATGCGTGTAGACACCCACTGCAATGATTGCAAGCTCGCCTGAAGATCTCTTCAACTGCCGGACTGCATCATCTCGACCACCTTTCTTGTTCTTTGTGGCTTCTCGAGGATACGACACCAGCCGGTTGAGGGCGTCAATCACGTCTTTCTGACATGTGACTTTCTGCCCATATTGTGTTGGCAGTCTTGATTAGGTCAGCGCCGGCATTGTTGATGATGTTCCGATTCGACTTGAGCTCTTTTCTGCTCAACGATGTTGGGGTGAATATGCTGAGCTATGTTGAGCTCCCTTTGTCCAAGGCCATTGCCTGCAAGTCTGGACTGCATCATTCCAACTGGCGTCCATCAAAGCTCTGGTTGCCCATCTCTCTTAATGGGCCCCCTTCAAGGGGTGGGCGGTGGCCCCGGTCAACGTTAGTCATAAAAACCCCATCCACTCTGGGGCCCCGGGCCGTCCACAACAAACTGCCCTGGCCCAGGTGCGCCATGAGGGACTTTCACCAGACCTTGGAGGACAATGGCCGCTACCTCACTCTGGAGACTGCCCAACTCATGGAAAGGCAGGTGGAGTCTTAGATGCACACTTCAGGGTCAGTGATCAGCTCACATTTTTAATGCTTAATTTGATCGGGGTGCCAAAATGGATGAGCTGAGGAAACTAGCATGAGAGCCTACATAAGACTGGCCATCGCCGCTGTTCAAGCCGGTGAGTTGCTGTGGCCCAGCCGCCCAAAGTGGCATGTAACTTGGTACTTAGAGGCCAAACTAATTTCTTTATTTTGGTCCCCTCGAACACTTGAATGTGTGTCTATTGATCGGATCACCTTGATGATAGTTTGCACTCCTGTGAGTAACTCATGGGACTGAGGGACTTCAAGAGCTGTTGCGTACCCAGTCCATTGACCGACTCATGGCTGCTAAGTGCAGTACTTTTTAGTGGCTTTAACCCAACAAATCCCGGTGGTCCCAAGAAGATCTCTTTCACGCATTGATCCTGCAGAACAAGCTGAGGAATCAATTGTCGAAAGTACCATTCATTCCATACAGAGGATTGGATCGGTCGAATTAAGCAATGTTGTGCAGTGACGCACAAACAAGGGCTGGAACATGTTGCACTTATGCGTTGGTTCACCGGGTTTCTTTGCAGCATCTCGATCGACAATTTGTCTTTCGGTCCTCAACTCCACTTATAAGGCTTTTTAAGTTTTGCCCAGGCCAATCCCAGCCATCCTGCGTCAGCCAAGGCTCACGAACAAGCTCGAGACAGCTGGTTTTGACAGCTGAGAACCCCGACGGTGCGTCTTGGAAAAGCTCACGTGCTCAAGAGCTGCTGATTGAGCCGGCTGGAGGTGATGATGGGTGGATCCCACCACAAATATTAACAATAAAACAAAAATGTTCTGTTTGTAGAAAATCACCATTTTGCAACTTTGGCTCACATGGACTTGGGTACCAACATGCTTTGACAATGGACCTGAAAGCCAGGTACTCTCTCAGACAGTGATTGGGATCCTTAGGGATACAGTCATACTCAGCCATGTCCTCCAAGGTTAGCGTCCGCCGTAAACTTCGAACCTCAACTCTAGAGGTGCACGAGCCTAAGATACAGGCCAAATGTCATATCTAGTAGGCTGACATAGTCGGGTGACAGTTTCGTGAGTTAGATCCACCCCTGGCCCTGTGAATGCAAGAACGGGGTCAAGGTCCAACTCGTCTCGGTTGACCTTTGACATCCACCTTGTCTCGGTAAAAAGAATAACGCTCGTTTCGAGTTTTTGTCGTGGAGCATGCGGAGACGTGTTTTTTTTGTTTGCTTTGCGCCCGCTTGCGCCTGATAGGCGAATGGTCAATTGCTGAACATCTCCATGGGTCAGGGACAGGACAGGAAAACGGGTTCATCCATGTGGATACCAAACTTCACAGACGAGCAAATCCATTGTGTGTGTGTTTTGTTTTAAGGTTGCAGACATTGAAGTAATCATGTTGAACTTACCGGGCAATTTGTTGATGCCCTGTGCTTTTCCCCAGGAGAAGATTGCGCTGAACGCCTTGAACAAGATGGCAAAGGAAGGCGGATGACTTGATTTTGAAAGAGAGCATGAAGCTATGTGATATATATATAAGCCGCTTAAAGCTGCAAGCGTTCAGACTTGATTGATGTTAACTATATAAGCTATATAGGCTAGGCATGAAATAGCATGAAGCTATCAAGAGTTCAGATTGGCCTTTCTTGAAGCCACTTGTCACGGTGCATGAAGCTATATGAGTAGAGGGCCACAGTGGGCTGTTCAGTAGTACTTGTATGGGGGCGACAGGGGTGTGACATGTTACTTTTACGCACTTTAGTTAGTGCCTCACCAAGCCGCGTATGGTCACTGCTTCTGGATTTCCTTTCTGCATTCCTGTGTCATTCAATTAGAAGAACAGAAGGGGCAGAGATGGGCAGAGAAAAACATCGCAGCTATGCAAGTATACACCTTGAGTAGCATTGACATGTTGGTGAAGTCAGGCCATGTCAGACCCTGACCAGGCGGATGGATCATGTTGCAGAACATCCACTTGATGCAAGCGTGGCTGAAGGATTTGGAGCGAGCGCTTGAGGTCATCGAGGAGTTCGTTCATGATGTGCCTTGCATTTCCAATGCTGGTCGACTGGTGAGAGCTGACAGGTCATCGAGGGCGGAATTCCGGCAGATTTCCGGAGACTGGCATGAAATCTATGACAGAAATGATGTGTTTTTTGGGCGGTCTGAGTTCATGAAGGATAAGCAAAAAGTCCTGGGAAGATTGATCAAGAAGATCGATGGAGGAAGTCCATCCGGATGAAGACATCTTCGCCTTCCACGGCTTCATGTTCATCTACTCTCCCGCAAACTAACATGGAACCCGAGAATTATCTGGTGGAAGACCATTTCCCTCTACAACCCAGTGGTTTTGGGGTTCCATGTTAATCTGCGGGGGGAGTAAATACCTAATACTCTAAGTATATAGAACGTTCACCTCCCAAAGCACCGAACCGGGCACCGAAGTTGGAAGCTCCCAGGTGAGGTCTCAGGTCCAGCGTTTGAGAAGCAAGCGTGCTGAACCCGTTGGGGCGACCCTGTCATACCTTTGTTTCGAAGGACGGGGGTGGGTACCAGGAGGGTCCAGTTATACCGAACATGAAGAGGTACGACTGGAGCCCAACAGCACCAACAGCACGTTTCTTCCGTGCTCCGCGAACAGCAACCTGTGCTCAAACGACCACGCTTCAGCACGCCTCAGAAGTGCCACGCTTCACGCGGCTTCACGCGGCTCCGCTGCCGAGGACTTCCGTTGCTTCTTGACCTCCGAGCCGCCAGGAGTCATGCAGGGCAAGCGACTTGGAGCGAGAAGCTTCGAGCCCACGGAGGTCGAGCGAGCGAGACACCCAGGTGGAGATCGGACGGACCCCAAAAACTGTTGGAGACTTGAGTTCAGCCTTCGAAGTTCGATCTCATTCTTTCCATCCGGCTAAGTAGTTATTCCCAGACACATGCCATATTATGTGCCTACGGGGTGGCATATATGGCAGTCCCATTAGTCGTATCTGGGATTTATACCCCATGTTGTTTTGGTGGTTCGTTCCACGGGTTCGTTGGGAATCCACCGTTTCCGGAAGGTATGCGGTATGCTGCGGTGGATGTTGTATTGACTGTCTCAAGGTGCCTTATAAGGTGATCCCTTCTTTTTTGGGCTCTGTTTGAGGCTGCAGGACCTTGCTCTTGAAAAGCTTGCACCAGTATTGTTGCTGCTACTATTGGCCGGTTCATGTTCGTTTGTGTTGTTTCGAATCTGATTGTGTCAGGACCTTGCTCTCACGATAGCATGTTTGAAACGGCTTCTGTGGATATTGCAGGCCCAAAGTGGCCAGTAAATGCTGAAGGACTGACATCTGTGTGGACGCTTTGTTGGCCCACAAACACTTCTCTCCATCCAACTCTGACAATGTTTGGGAAAGGCCTGCTGTGGAAATTGATTGCATATGTTGTGACAACCGCATGAAATGCGATGACAGGAACCCTGGAAGAGGTGGAAAGAACATTAAGGGGCTTCCTATTACTACTAGTAAGGCCCTTGCTCCTAGTAGCGATGCACTTGTTCCTAGTAGCTTCATGTTACGTGGAAAGAACAATAAGGGGCTGTAGTTGGAACTTGCTAAAGCGACATTGGCAACAAACAGCACTCATGACAGACAGCCCTGTGCTGCGAGAAGCGCAGTTCTCCTTCGAATCAAGCGGAACATGCGACAAAAAACACACAGAAAGAGAAACCTTGTGAGTTTCTTGGCCATACAGGTCCTTGTATAGCATTTGGTAGCACTCTAGGTGTAGGAAAGCAAAAGTCTACTTGACAAAGGCACAAACAAGACTCTCCACGCCCGTATCAGACGGAGAGGCCTGAGCACAGGTTCTTGTGCGGCATAGTTCGGCCAAACTAAGGCTTTGGGATTTGATCCCCGAGCCCATCTTGCAGAGGTGGCACGGCCATGGGCTGGTTCCACGCATGGGGCAGGATAATGAGATGATTGAATGACAGGATGTTGTCAAAGCTTGTATTTTGACAACATGCCGCCTTTTGTCAATTCATCGCATAGCTCTGTGTGTGTGTGGCAGCCTTTGGCAGTGCCCTTGGCTAGTACGTCGTTATTCTGTCTTGAGTAACGACTGGAATCCTGGAATTGACTTCGATCTTCAAAGCGATTGACCGACACTACATGGGTTAGTGGATCCCAAGAGAGATGTTCAAGCTTCGCTCAGCTTCGCTTCCTCGAAAGGGAACGGCCATTGTACGGTAACGTAAGAGAATTCGGCGACGCTGGGGGAGACCTGGGAAGCGTTGCCCTGAGGTGCATCAAGGTGGCAGATGAGGCTCCATCCGATTTGAAGTCCAACCTGCGCCGTGCCTACTCCAAGTTTTCTCAGGAGCCCGCATCGCTAGAGGCATGGCATGCATTTCGCCGGCCTCGAGATATGAAAGGAGCACGTCTTGTTCGGAAAGGAACTGGCCACATGTCATGCTTTTGTGGCTCAACAATAGGGCGCAATTCAATGCAATTCAGACTTATGAGCCGACATGAGAATTACATCCAACACCTGCATGTTGGGAGTTGAAGATGAGAAGACTCAATTCAACAATCCAGGTCATAGCTTTGTCTTCGGACCATTCTGAGACCACTGTGTGCTGAGTGCCCAAGATCGACAGGGCATCGGCGTGTCGTGTCTCACCTTTTTGACTGGCCTGGTCCAAGGAATGAAGGTGAAGTCATCCAGCCTTTGCCAAGAAACATGTGATCTGGATAGATCCGGATGAACGTATGCTGAACAATTCAACGACCATGAACATGAAAACGACGGGCAACGTCAATTCATCGTTCTCCGAAAGTTCCGAAACATCGTCTACTCCTGCCAGGAGAACATCGACGCTTGCTTGAAGCCTCGAGAGTTCAAGGCCACCTTGTTTGCGCTTTGCTTCTTCCATTCGCTGATCTCAGGAGACACGCGAGACTTCTGAACGATGGGGAGAAAGACGTGAACGGACGAAGAAATCGAAGAAATCGAGACATCGGGCTGGGTAGACAAAGAAGGGCAGAAGCATGGCTCTTCAGTGGCTGTTCCCAGAGAGAGTGTACGAAAAGCTGATAGTATTTGCCCTCAAAATCCTTGAGCCCTCAATGGAAAGGGATGGATCCAACACCTTCGCAGGGGTCAGGGCCCCCCAAAACCCTTATGTGTTTCAGGGCGCGGATTCTTACGTTCATGTTTGTCACCTAAAAAGGCCGAGTGGTTGATGTTTGTTGATGCGTTAGCTGAGGCAGCCAGCATCCATCAGCCACCCTTCATGCAATGTCATGCCATGTGTCACCCTGCATGGCCACTGGACGGTCTCCTTGGATCTTTCGTCCATGGCGCTGCCATTTTGGCACCAAGAGCTGGTGTCTCACACGTCCACGTCGTCCATCGTGATCGACCTGTCGTCCATCGTGCAGGACGCATTAAGTTCGGAGCTCAAGGTTGGTTGGGGCGCCTCAGTCAGTGACCCACCGGCCACCGCCCAGGTACCATCCACCAGGGCAAAACAGGTGGGTGGTGCGAGATAGAGACATTGGGTCGTTTGAGCTAGCCATGGAGTAGTCCGGATGCTGGAGATTGATTTAAAAGCACGTTGAAATGCTCTAGGTCACGTGTATATTGGTATTTGAGTCATTCGAGTGTAGTGGATGACAATGTGTCATTTTCCAAAGCAGTGCCTTTGACAGCGCACACCAGCTGTTGCAACGTTCGCCAATTTAAGGTCCAAGAAATATCCCTTCAACGATGGTGACTTGACCATTTGTGTGAAGCTCAGTGCATCGTTCGTCCCGAAATTCGGGTGAGGTACATGGATGCCACGTCCGTGAAGCTATTTCCCTGACATGCTTTAAAGGCGATTGACTAGTCGATTGCAGTCATACCAATGCACAAGGATATTCCAGTGTTGGCAGAGGTGGATCCTGGCCCCAATGTAGGGCTTCCCAATTGTTTGAGATTCTTGATCCAACATTGTCACGAGACCCAAACATAACACTTCAGTTCGTTGATGTTTGCTGGTCGATCTGTACTTCGCTGTGTGATGGTGTTAGGTGGACAAGTCTTGAAGAACTACCTCAACAATGCGGAGAACCTGGGCACAGAGGCTGTACCAGTCGTCACGGGATATGACACTAGGAGAAACGCTAGGAAATCAAATACCGGAGCCGAAGTAACTTTTTCATTATTGTGCTGCCGAGGTGATTTTCACGCTTTGAGTTGACCAAACAACATGGTGAAGCAGCGTGCAAGCGAGGCAATACCCTGTCCATGGCGATCACGTCCTCCATGGAATACCGACAAACCACCCATACCTGTGTGTTTTGTGGTTGGGGTTCTTTCAAGATGCTGGTCACACCACACTGGTCACACCCGCATCGTTTTGCAGGTGCCCTGGCCGGACTTGCGGTACATTTTCGGCGAGATCATGCTACTCAGACTTTCGGGTCAAGGTTTCGGTCTGGTGGTGGCAGGTGGTGTGTTGATCTGGTCGAAAGACTCTGAGTTGTTCAGCCAGCACCGGAGAAGCAGTCTCGCATGCTCGATGCATGCTCCCCTTTTGGGAGACGTGCACAGAAGTGCGCTGAGTCAAGGACTCTCTGAGGCTCAAAAGATTCCATCCATCTATAATTTATATAATGAATTATAATGATATTAAATGTATAATTATATGCATTAATATCATTCTACATGTATATTTATATATATTTGTGAACTATTTTCAGTACAGATCAGTAATTTCGCATATTGCATGATAGGCATCATAGAACCTGACCTCAGCCCTTTTGAGTATCAAGAAAAGGTGCGTATGGTAGCGGAGCAGAGAAGGAGGCAACCCCTCTGGAGCTCTGATTGTGAGCCATAGATTTGGGGGCCTTTGGAACCCAAACAGCTGGACTGATGAATAATTGTTGTGAGCAACACTCTGTACCCAGTACATTGTGTCAAAGAGACATTAGTACAAAGAGGAGATGGAGGAGATCAGAGAAATCCTTCTACGACATCAGCAGCTGAGGCAGTGAAGAAAGCAGTTGAAAGCAAGAGGTCATCAACAACAGGTTGGTCAAAGTGGATAGCAAGCAAAGCCCAACATCTTTGACTACAAGACCAAGGCATTTAGAGAGTGGTCATGGGTCTTTGAGAAGTACTCGAGTGCAGTTGATGAGGGCTACACGAAGGACTTGAAGGAAATTTGTGAAAAGCCAAATGACAAATTTGACATGCACTTGGCAACTGTGGCAGAGAAGACTTGATGCACTCAAGCTCTATGGACTGTTAGCTTCACTGATGAGAGGAAAGGCACTGCAATTGGTGAAGGCTGTGGAAGACTCTAATGGACTTGATGCCTGGAGGAGTTTGGGTAAAGCTTTGAAGCCAACTTCAAAGGCAAGAGGCTTGGCACTCTGAGAGCAGCCGCTACATGGCCAGCATTTTCGATGAGTAGTGCACTACAACCTCAACTCTTGAAGCTTGAAGAGGTATTTGATGAGACTCTCAAGGCAGGGACTACAATTCAGGAAGGGTTGAAATCTGCTATTCTTTTTAGATGTGTAGGTGGACAACTCAAGTCCTGTTTGAACTTGGCAATTGGTAGGAAGGTGATCACAAGGGCAGAAGTAAAGGCGAAGACCAGAAAGGCAACGGTGTGGCAACGTGTTACACTTGTGGAAAGCCAGCACATGACAACTCATACAGCTGGCCAACAACATGCTAGTGCGAGCCAACAAGGGAGCTCAGCAGAGACCAAACCCGTAGTCAGGAGAATTGTGAACAGTGAGCCAATCAGCTTTGACTTGAGGCAGGGAGATGATGAGCTAGAAGATCAAGGAGTTCGAGTAATTCACTTCTACATTGGAGATGATGATGATGATGTGGCAGAATTCCAGGAAATTGATATCTCAGATGATGAACCCATGGTGAGAAGACTTGGGGAAGAGCATGAGGATGTGGCCATCATTATTGACAGTGGAGCAGATGTAGCATTCTTCTCTTTGAGTGTGGCAGATCATGGAGAAGGAGAGCTACAAGATGCTGCGAAAAGTGTTGAAATTTCCTCGCATGACCTTGATGGACGAGAAGTTCTTTGAGAGTGCGATCTTCAGTTCCAAGGTACATCAGCCCATACTTTGTTATGGAAGATTGATGGAGCATGGTTGGGGAATCAGCAGCAGAGAGCAAATGTTGGAGAATGGTGACTAGAAGATGCCACTCAACCTACAAAATCGCTCTTTGACAGTTCAAGGCCGCATTAGAGTCATTCGAGACTGCTCGGATGTGCAAGTACCTGAAGCTCTTGGGAAAGAACGAGGTTGGAGGTTCAATGAACATGGACTGCTTTGACTTCAAAATTTGTGGATCCAACAGTTGTTCCAGAAGTGGAAGAATCACCAGAGCTGATGAGGACTACTTTGGTGAAGAGAGGAGGTAGATGGCGAATGCCTGAATATTGTGAGAGCATGATGAAGAAGGAGGAACTTGATGAGCAATTCTTTGATGATGACGCAGTCGTTCCTTCAATCGCAATCTTCTTCTGTGAGCCAGCACCACGAGAGGATATGGGGTTCTTTGCACCAGGATACAAGAAGCTTGAGAACAGAGAGCCAAGAAAGAAAGAAGTGCAGCAGGCGCTAGAAGAGATTACTACTCCACAGGAGAAGGAGGTAGAAGGTCAGAAAGAAGATGACCTTGAGTGTGAACTACAATTGAGCCCAGTGATGTAGACAAAGCCTTGGTGAATGGAATAGAGGTTACTAAGGATTCTTCTTTGGTAACTCCGAGGGCAGCTTGCTTATTTCTTGGCGCGTCAGGCAGTAGCTCTAAGCTAAAGGTCCACACCAAGATCCTCAATCACAACAAAAGATGGAATTGTTGAACGCCGAAAGCTTGGTGAGTGAAGCAAAAGCTCAAGAGACCAGAGAGGCATTAGGACAAAGTGTGGCAAAGATGCCAGATGAAGCAACTCAAGCAAGGCACAGATTGACACACATGCCATATGCTTACTGGTGTATGGAGCGCATTGAACATCGAGCGCGGCCAGATCGCCATGAGAGAACAGATGGGGTGAAGAGAGGAAGTATTCCTGAGGTAAGCTTTGACTTTTGCTATACAAGAGCAAGAGACTCAGAAACAAAGTCAGCAAGAGCAGTATGTTGGCTAGTTGCAATTGACAGCCAAACTGGATTATTGATGAATTTCAGTCAATTGTTGGAGTAATCAGCAAACATCTACAGGAGTGACAGTGAACCCACAACAAGGCAAATCCTCAAGATGCTGACCAATGCTCGCCACAGTCTAGGACTCATTACCAGATTGGTTAACTCAAAGCTTGGAGATCATTCATTTCTGTCAGAGAACACAGCTGACAGGGTGAGAAAGCTTGCAGGAACTTCCTTTGAAGGTGTGCAGTCAAGACTTGGAATCAAGATTAGGTCAGATCATGCACTTGTGACTTGGGCAGCAAGACATGCCAGTTGGGCACTGAATAGATTTCAGCCAGTCAAAGGTGCAACTCTCTATCAAGTTACAAGGGACTTCTAGCAGGGTATGGTGAACCAGTGCATGGTTACATCAAGAGCCTCAACAAAGGAGAAGCGAGATGGCATTTATGCTTGCTCTTGGGAAAGGTTGAAAGGCAAGACACCTATGTACTCACAGATCAAGATTTGTCCAAATACGTACCCATATACTAAAGCGTCAATGCATTTTCACGGGAGTATCAAACCAGTTTTTGAGGCAGAAATCTTGCCACCAAGAGGAGAGCAGAAGCATTACCAGCAGTGCAGACAGATATTCCTCGACATGTAATGGTGAAATTCAGTGATGAGGGTGCAGACGCAGTCATGGCCAAGGCAGTGGGGAGGAATTGATTCAGAGAAAGAAGAGCAACAATTACCAGAGCCAAAGGAGATTCCAGCCCTGTTGGAGATTCTTGTTGAAGCAATGAAAAGAGATGGAGGTGAAAGGAAATGAAACGAAGCCAGGCGAAGAAGAAACAACAAATAAGGAGCAGAAAGTTCTCTTTGCAGATGAGAAGACACTTGAAGAAGTGAAGGCGTTTCCCTCTACATCATTGCCAGCAGGACAGCCAAATCCAATTGTTTCTATACTATCTTCATTGAGATCACCGTCCGCGCCATCAAGACCAAGAGAAGCATTTGAGTTGATTGAGGAGGAAAGCCCAATGAAAAAAATCAGGCCATCAATTGATTCAAGCAAGAAGGCCAAGATCAACATACTGAAGCTTCTACCCACAATATTCTTGCAGAGAAGTAGCAAAGAAGATGGGGCAAGAGAAGGAGAAGGAGCATTCTCACTGACGATAGAATGTCTTGATGTGAAGGGTGCATTTCTACAAGTTCCACAAGAGAAACCATTAAAAGTGATCTTGAGAGGAAAAGATCTCCTAGTGAAGAGAAATCTACCTGGACAAAGAGATGGAGCAAAGGCATGTTTTGACTTTTCCACAGAGTACTTCACGGAGGAACTCAACTACCAATTTAGCGCTGAGTGTCCATGCCTAGGAAGAGTACCATTTTGATCCATGTGGGTGACTTGATTTTCACGGGAGATTCAAAGTACATCAATGAAATCTTTCTTCCAAAGATTCAAGGCAAATTCGACACCAGTGTGAGCAAGATTGACACAATTAAAGATGAGTACACAGTTTAAGTTGATGGAATATGGATCCAACCATGCGACTACATCTAGCAGATGTTGAAAGCCTATGAAGAGCAGATTGGGCCTGTCAAGCTCCAACAACTACCAGCAGACAACTCAATCCAGATGGAAAGATTCAGACTGGAGTGGAAACAAAAGCCACAGAAAGTCAACGTCAGGAGGATTCCATGCATTGAATAGTTGCCCATTGTTCAACAGCAGCAGAACACAGAAGATCATTAGCTTATCTTCGTGTGAAGCAGCACTACATGCACTAGTTTCCTCTGCATCAGATGGAATCTGTATCAGAGCAGTTCTGGAATTTGCTCTTGGGACAAAGGTGGACCATTACATCTTCACAAATTCATCAGGCGCGCGCCAACTTGTGACAAAGAGAGGAGTTGGAAAAGTGATGCATTTAGACGGAAAACTGCTATGGATTCAGAACAGGAAAGGCTTCAAGATGGTACACGTGCCAACAGATAGCAACATGGCAGACCTCAACGCAAGCCACTTGGAGGACAAAGGATCAGATACTGGATGAACCTAAATGGTTACTGGCACAGTGAAGACCAAGTGAGAGTAGGATAATATGAGAGAATGGAATTTGAAGAAACGAAAAATTTTGTAGGCAAGTCAATAGTGTGGTCGACTTGTGGTCCATGAGAAATACTGGAAGCTGCTGACTAGTGGACAAAACGAAGCAGCAGATATGGTTGAGAAAGAGATGGAAATGTATAAGGAATTGCTAGAATGTGCAGGCATGAGGAGAAACTTTCCAGACAGACCAACACATTTTTTGAGAGAACAGACAGTTCACAGCAAGAAAGAGAAGGATGAAATGGAAGAAGATGGACTATGGTGGCAAAGTGAGCTCAAAGAAACATTTTTAGAGTCTCACATCGCCAAGGGGGAGTGCGAACCATTTTCAGTACAGATCAGTAACTTTGCATATTGCATGATAAACATCATAGAACCTGACCTCAGCCCTTTTGAGTATCAGGAAGTGCGTAATTCTCTCTCTCTCTCAACAACAGCCACCAGCACCAGCCACCGAAGTACGGTCCCGAGGTACGGCGGACACATCACCGATCCGTGGGACCGCCGTGCCGCTCGGGGCCAGCGAAAGGGGCGAATGGGGGGAAGAGAAGCAGGCGAGGCTGAGAGGCTTTGGCTGGGGCAGCCGCCTAGGGCGAAAGAAGCATCCTCCTTCTCTACGGGCTTAGGGCCGGAGAATCCTCCAGAGTCTTTTGGGATGTGTATGTGTGAGGTGTGTAGCTTCAAAATCCGGGACGGAGGTGTCCCATGATGCCCCATGTGTGTTTTTCTTTGTGTTCCCTATATTTTGAAGAAACCCCCTTTAGGGGAAGATGAAGGATTTTTGATGTGTTTCCTCGAGCAAAACCAAGCAGACCCAAGTTCAACAACATGCCTGACACATGAGTAATTAAATCTAAATTAACTCAGCAAAAATGCAAGCATGTTGACATCCCAATAATCATTTCAAAGAGATGCCGCTGATGGTGGTGTGAATTCATGGGATACAGTCCTCGCAAACATGAGCAGAATCAGATGTTTTGCCTCACGACTTGAACACTATATAGTCTTCCTCGTGACCTCGCATGACCTGGTTTCATGCTTGCAAGGCCCGAAGACAGGTCCCACATAATCTACACATTGTTCCAAGACCCTCAAAAGCGCAACAGCACATCTTCAGCACAACAGATTTGGCCTCAACTGTCCAATATGTTGATCGTTGATACACTCCCAATATCTCCCAATCATTGAAGTGGAGTTCACACCACCGGTTTGGTCTTCGGATTTCATGGTCTGTCCGAGTCGGAGGGGCCGAACTGCCATCCACTTCGATCATGGGGAGTGTTTTCTCCGTGTCTTTGACCGAGGTGAACAACACCTACCTGGCAGTCTTGGTGACGCCCGAGTTGCTCGTGGGAGGCGCTTTGGCGCCGGGCTTCAAGTCCCCAGCGTCTTGGGCCGGACGGTGAGGACGAGCTGGGGCGTTGGCGTTGCGAGGATGGCTGGATCTAAATTAAAGGAATTGATATTGGGGGTTCATCCCCTCATTCCTTACTATGCACCAGTCAGTAAAACACAATTGAGAGAATCGATCACTTCAGAACAACCTTTAAGAGATTTCAAGAGCTGAGTGTGTTTTGGGTTGGTGAGGATGCAGATGGATGATCGATGAAGTCATACTCGGCCACAAATGCTCTAGTATCCACCAACTACTTTGCAATTCAAGGTTCTTTTGCCAGGAATTGGGCGTAGCTGGAGCAGCTTATGGACAAGGTTTGCTGCCAGACCTGAGATCCTGTGAGCCCCACTTTTGCTTTTTGTTTGATCCCTCGCCCCACTGGAACAATCTATCGTGTTCCTGGAGTACTTAGATTTTAAGCTCACAGAACAAAGGATAACAAAGGATAATCTTAAACCAGGATAAAAGGATGATGTTGATTCAACATGATTCAAACCATGTTCTTTGCAGTTCGATGTTTGAAGTCTTGGAATTCCAACGAACTTCACCGGGCAAGGAATCGGACGTTTGTTGAAACATCAGGAGCTCCCGCCAATAGGCGACGACAGCGTGGAGAAGTTTGTTGAAATCATTTAACGATCAAGAAGCTTCCCGATCAAAATCAGAAAGCACTAAGACACAACCCATGAGACGATATGTGACTACTTTGTAAGGTGGACAACTTTGCATAACTTTGCTATTATTGCTTTGGGCACCTCTTGTCCTGCCTTCGCCAGGTCCCGGGTGTGACTGCCGGCGAAGCCAAGGATGCCGCGAAGCTGGAGTATTCGCACTACGTGAAATACATTGAGGAGCGATTCCCCCCGGAGGTGCCACAGATGTTCGGATTGCCTCCTGGCTGAGCACGACTGACAGGTGTGCATGGCGCATGGCTGGACCGGATGGCTCAAACTCGCCCGGTTGGAAATCCGTACGACATGTCGTTTAGACACGCCGTACGACCCACGACTCTGTGGACTCCAGCTGGAGCTGGTTTTTGCCCGTGCCTCCCCAGCATTCTCGTTCAAGGCATCCCAACGCTGAGATTGGCTTCCTGACCAATCAGGGCATCAGCATCTTCAAGACGATCGCGGAGCGGTCGTGGCGCACGAACCGGAACGTGTCACGCAGATGTGCAACTCCAGGGTGCACGGACAATCGGAGGTCATCGGAGGAGAAGGGTATTTAATGAGCAAGACACAAGAGCCAATGGTTGCTACTTGTAGCTGCTAGTTGTAGGATCACTTGGGTCACATCATGTCTCATCAAAGGAGCGATATTGACTAAACCGAAGTGGATCATGGAGTCAACATCGGGTCAACATCGAAGTGGATCGCCTGGGTTCGCTTGATTTGCAAAGAAGCTCTTCAGGTAAAAAGTAAGCATGTGTAGGCCCAAGATATCCCAATGAATCCCAAAGAATCTCCAACTAAGCACCCCGGGCCTGTTGTTTGAGACCCCAGGCCAACTAAACGACGTTTTTGGGATCAAAAAAAGAACCGTCGAACAAAACCCGTCGAACAAACCCCCCGTGGCCGTAGGATATCACGGGTGGCGGTGGGGGCGGCGGCAGCGCCGATATCTCTGCCTCCACACCGCTCATCACCAGCTACCTGACCGCGCCGCTGGGCAAGGAGGATGGGTGGACGGAGGATGGAAAGTAGGAGAAGCAGCATGAGAATGATTGGTGGGAAGATTGTAATACGTATTATATATATTAGTAACAAATAGCTACTAGGAACAAGTGCATCGCTTCTAGTAACAAGTGCCTTACTAGTAGTAACAAGAAGCTATTTAGTTTACATGTTTTTCCCCAAGATCCCAAGACAGGTCACAGAGTCGCGCACCGATAGAACGTCCTGGATCAAGGTTCTGAGACCGGTGGAGTTCCATTCTTCGACCTTGAAACGGTGGTTCTTCGACCACGCGTTGTCACTTTGTGCATGGATGGTGTTCTTTTTGTCGAAAAAAACACCCTTAGGAGGTACAGGTGTCAAAGGGATTGACCTTGCTGGGCTGGCCCAACCTAGATCCGAAATGGATTTGGAGGATGTAGCGGCGCAACCGTTTCTGACTCTTTCCGACCCACAAAGATGGGTTCACTTTTGGCGTGCTTTCACCTATGCTGAAACCAACAAAATCATGAACATGCCTTTGATCGATTTGATTGCATTTGATTTTAAGTTTGGTTTGGTTTCACATCTGGTGTACTTGCGAAGACCCGATTAATACACCTCCCCCCGAAGTGGAAGGTCTAGAAGGTCTGAGGTACATTCATGAGGCCCACCTCCCCTGAATAATCTGGTGTACTTGCTTGCGGCAAGCAACGCCACTCTCGACCTCCCAAGAGTCCACTCAGAGTCCACTCTCCCGCCCAGGCTGCCCACGAACTTGGACATGATAGACATCCGAGGCAGAGACACCGAACTGGTTCCCGGTTCCTGGGAGAGGCATGGCCTTGTATTTCGGGGGACCTCCCAACCAATAGGTTTTGGTAGTGGTCTTGGGTGTATGTTCCTTAGACCTCCACGGTGTTTTTCGGAGGTCTCACTCTTTTTTAAGGCACACCTGCCATTGTAAAATGATAAGACTCATCTCCGGGGTGGCACGAGAAGCTTGGCTGGCGAGTGTGATATTGTGAAATACTATTATATATGATCAATTCACCTGAAATACGTCAACCTGCCCAGCCGGGCCAAGCCCTAGTGCCATCCATCAGCCAAGTAGCATGTTTGCCAGCGTGTCAGCCTGGCACGTCAGCACAGGCAAGCGACATTGATGGCTTGAAATGGCTTGAAATGCATGATTGCTGACCTTGAACCTCAGCCATTCTCCGATCCTTGTGACCAGGCAGGCTGAAAGAGGAGGACTACACCCCCTTCATCATCGTGTCCCTTCAGGAGGCCAGGCCTTTCCATTCCCGAACAAACAGGCACGTCTTGGAACACAAATGCGCGATGAGAAACTGCACAAGACCGTGGTGTTGGTGAAGTCTTCTTGCAGGTCATGATCATCTGAGTTTGGTAAAGCAATTTGTTGGCTAGGCCAAGAATATCAACATGTTATCATCATGTTTCAGCTTATGTATAAGATTAAGTACGATTTTATGTACAAGAAGAATGCAGGCCCACCAGACCAGTCAACACTTTCATGGGTTTGCTAGACCATGCTACTTTCTCATCCATCCCGTCAGAAAGCCGTCCGGACCTCCGTCCTTCTCCCACCCATTCCCCATCAACGGTTCAGAACCGTGGGGGGAATTTCATCAGAGATGGCCAGTTCTCCACGTGAAAGAACTGGACCTGGATGCGGATCGACCCATGTCAGGCGGATCGCGTGAATGCCTTGCTGGACCAGATCCGCAGCTCTCTCCTGGAGTTGGAGCTGGGCCACTTGGACGCCAGAGTCCAACCCCGCGAGCGCCCTCGAGCGCGAGCTGCTCGCGTCGCTGCGAAGGGTCTTCTTCCAGCGCAGCTCACTCAAGCACTGCGGCTTTTTGGGGGGTTTCGGTGGTTTTTGTCAGGCAACGGAGCCTCACGGAGCTATGAGATGAAAAAAACGCACATTGCCTATGTAGAGTTTGGGAGTTTGCAGGCACTGCAGGAAGTTTGCCGACAACTTGTCAGAAGATGAGGACTTCCTTTGCAACACTAGAACATACTAGAACACTGTTCTCATGAGATATTTCGAGCCACGACCACTTCTCACTTGAGTGGGTATGGGCCACAAGGGGTCCCCGGCCAGAACCGGTCTTGCAAAGGATCCATCCTGCATCGGTGGAGAGAGACACAGTTGGCTGAGTTCTGTGGTCCATCCAAAGATTGTTCGAAGGGTTTTGGCCTTGCAACGACCGAACTGTGCCAGAAACAGACCGTTTGCAAAGACCGTTTGTTCAAGGGTTTGTTGTTTCATGTTTTTCTTCCCAGAAACATGCACGACTGTTTGACAACCGAAGATTTCGACAGAGCTGTGAACCAGGAAGAACCATCATCGTAGATTCAATACAATTATAGACTGATGGGCCTCAGTCTCACGAGGCATTTCTTCAAACAACAACTTTCCACCTAGAGCTCAGGATAGTTTTTTTCCACACTGACCAAACCGCGACGCGTAAGGCATCAGCGGCGCTCTGAACGTGACGGAGAAGATGGAGGCCCTGGCATCGCCCAACGCAGCGTCACGGTGACGGAAAAAAGACGCTTTCCCGGTGGCACCAACGGCACATCTCGTCGCGTCACTTCGATCGATCACTAATAGAGTAGAGAGAGGAGATGCTGATGTAGTTCATTTGTCATTTTGGGGCCGTCTTTGAAACCAAACAAAAGGATATTGCGTCCGCTCTGTTGAACCAGACTCTTGACCACGGCTTGCCCCTCAAAATACCTGTCCATGAGAATCACCTTATTGCCTGCTTGTCAATGTTCAAGACAAATACTGTAAGATCATTCGCAGAGAGCACCTGGCAGAAAGTGTTTGGTCATCCCATTTTCGACCTTCCAATGAACGGGGATGATTAGTTCTTAGAGTCCAGTTGTTTGCATTCCACACACCACGCGCAGACGACGATATGCCCCGCCAACGAAAAAGGCGACTTGGAAAAGTCGGGAGCATGGTCTTGAAAGTCTTGGAAGACTCTGTTAGCGTTCCGTAACGGTTGATATGATATACTTAACATATTGCCCAGTCTTGATTTATAAACTCCCTCCCCAGAAACGTGTGAACATATCCTTATATTTGTGAGTTTATGATGGTTCATATGAACAGCGCATACAGCCCCAGACACTTCATGAGACTGGCATATAAACACAATAAGTATCGTTAAACATACCAAACACATTTAAAATACACATATATAAACCTATTATAAACCTACATGAGGATGGTTCACCCCGGGGTAAACCCGGACTCCAATGGTCAACTGCCTGCCGACCTCTTTCGTTTCCGGACCTCGGCCGGGACCGCGGCACCGCCAGATGCTCTCGGCCGACTTACAGTCCAACAAGGTGAACGCTTTGTGGGCGGAGAAGGCAAGGGGCGCCGGCTGGTGGGGGCGGCCGAAGAACCGAAGAAGGGGCCGCCGGAGAAGGGGGGAATGCGGAGAAGATGGTGGCAAAGATGTAAAACAACCACAGCTATATGTGGTACAGTTTGATGACATGTAACATGGAACATCATGGATTCATCGATTCATCAATATGATTCCACATGCATGAAAGTATACGAACAACAAAGCACCCGTTTCTGTGGTCAAGATCGCTGAGAGTTGGCTCTAGTTCGTTTTCAACATAGAGCAAAAACCATCTTCAACGTCTTTTCGCAACAGTTGCACATAGAGTTCTCATTGAAGAGGAGAAAGCCAGCGAAACGACCTCTGCCATCCCTGAAACCTCCAGCACCACGCCAGGCCTACCCCTCGCTGAAGGCGCTCTCCGCGTGGTTCGCCGACCTGGCCCGGGAAGCCCGGCCGGGCGGTGGTTTTGCGCCACATCGCCACGCGAAAGGAGTGTGGGGTTTGTCGGTCTGTCCGAACTGAGCTGTAACAGGACCTGTAAACAGGGATTCTTTTTTTTTGGACAAGGCCTGCAACTGAACCATCATCCACTGTTACAGGTAGACCCAAAGTGTGTGCATTGAACAGAGTGAGATTTTCCTCAGAATAGACCTGGAAGAAGGGACATCGACGGTTTTTGTTTGGGTGTCTCCCTATTCAAATACAATCAAATACACATGCACAGACGCGTTCCACAACAGAGCTAGGTGTTGTGTTCGGGAACCGGTTAAAAAACGAAGAGGGTTCAGAAGTGAATGAGATGTTCAGATGTCCTCAGAGTGAGCTCTGGCCATCGTGCGAGTCCCACCGTGCGATCGGAGACGTGGGTGTCCGATCACAGTCCCAGGTCTTGCGGCATGAGCAGGTGGTCGAGTGGACGGCGCAGTTGCTACTCGGATCCAAAAGGAATCCCAAACTGAGCAGTTGGATTGGTCGCAAGGGTTTTGTTCGTCCAATCCAGGGACTGGATGTTCTGGGCAGCTCGACTTCCTTTGTTCGTTTGGCACCCCGATATGGAACTGCTGGTAAGAGCATCCGACAAAATACCTTTGGGCGGACACCAAGAAGCTTTGTCCGCTATGAAGATGAGAATAAATGTTTGGAATGGGAACTTGCTGGAATGACATGTCTATCCTTTTACAACCGCAACCGGTCTCCCTCAAGACATCGATGTATTCGTTCACAGCTTTGGGGAAAATCATGTGGAATCACAAAGGTTCGAGGGGTCTTCATAATATACATCCAAGTAAACAGTAGTAGGTCTTTGGACTTCCCCACGAGCTGGACTCAGACCGTTTGGCCCCCCGTTGAACAGCGTCAAAAACCTCCAAACAAGCCAGATGTCGATCACTGGTTTGTTATAATGATATATACTGACTGTTGTGCAGTTTTAACATATGTTGACCCTTTCCAACCTTTACATCTTTCGCTGAATTGTGATGTGTCTCGAGCATTTATCTCGTGCAGGGAATTTCAATCACTTGAGGAGTATACGTCTACTCATCCCATTAGTTCGACCCGCCTGGCGGTGATCGACCCCCAATGTGTCTTCTCGACCCTCTTCGTGCGAGTCCGGTCCATTGCTCTCAAGGAAGTTGCTGAAATCCATTTGGATCAGTGGTCTCTTCAACTCCATGTCCTTCCTGACCTCCAACATGCAGGCGGTGACTAAACATCAGGTCTTCGGCTCCTTAGCGTTGCTGGCTTTCCGAAGGTCACCAAGCGAACGGCAGTCGGACGACATGGTGTGGAGGATTGGCAGGTCACCAAGCGAATAGAACATCTACCAGATAGCAGACATATAGAAGCCTATGGGCCTATGGGTAGGTTCATATATAGGTTCCATACGGTTCCATAGCTTCCACACCACAAGAAGCAACACGTAAACACAAGAAACATATTTGCCAACGCTGTTGCCGGCGGTCTCAAGCAAATGCCGCAGGTGGCTGCTCGCTCCAATAGCTTGCCTTTGGACTACATGACCAATAGGCGCCGTTTTGATTTCCTACCAGTAGCTCCTGGCATCGCTACTAGTAACAAGAAGCTACTAGGGTGGAGGCCATCACCATTAGGTTGGAGGCCATCGCTAGTAGGCTGGAGGCCATTACTACTAGTAACAAAAGCTACTAGTAACAAGGGCACCCATTCTTTGCTCCCCCAAAACATACAAATCAGAGGTCGTGTTTGTTACTAGACTTTCCGGGAACAGATGGACCCCCAAAGATGGACTTATACTCGTATCATCTCGTATCATTTTTTCAAACGCCAGATCGAAGGGCCTCCTTTTCCCTTTACAAAAAAAAGTGATTCTTCGATAGTCTTCGCTTGTATACCTTTCATCAGATCCGGTGATGTCGCTGCGCGATGCGGTTTCGTGTGGCTTCGGTAGAACATGTGTTTGCGTGGCTCGGTGCCACTGTGCCACTGGGGAAGCGTGCACATGAGTGTAAATGCGGCATGTTGCTAGTGAGGGGCAGGATTGGTGGTGATCCTAGTGGGTGGGTAACCTAATAAGAATTAAAAGAACAACAATAGTATTAAAAAAAAAAAAAAAACATAAAACCATACTCCCAAAATCGTCTATGTGTTTGGTTTAGTAGTGTTTAGAAGCCGGTAACTTAAAAGACACACATCATCTAAACCGTATTTATAGGGGTCTCTTGTATTAATTGTGTCGTGTTTTTTTTCTGAAGCACTCGGGAAAACCTACATCTACGTACTGTGGCGGGTCGAGGCTTGCCGACGATCCCTTGGACCTATTTTCTCGACAGGTGCCGCTTCTACAACACTCGAGATCTGGCAGAGATCACAGGTGTGCCGCCACAGGCGGAGATCGGTCGGGCGGAGAAAGAGATCGGTCGCCACCGGCTTTTGGAAGTGGGGCAGAGGATCTCGTGGAGAAGTACGGCGGTGGAGCATAGTAGCGATGCCAGGAGCCCCTAGCAGTTTCTTGTTACTAGTAGCTACTTGCTCCTAGTAGTGAGGCCAGGAGCCCCGAACGTAGCATCCGATCGCTCCAGCCATGTGGGTTTGGAGAAATTTTTTCAAGTCCAGATTGTTGGAGGGGTAGATATGGGTACATAAGTCGTCATATCGAGATCGGTTGAAGTAGCTTGAGTCTTCCTGTGTGGACCAGCAGCTTGCAAGTCCCAGCAGAGTTCTTGTGCAAGTCGACGCAGGATTTTGATATTTCTGATTTCTGCTTGGGTGGGTCTTGGAATCGGGAGCCCCACACCAAAATCTCAACATCTCAGCAAGCCACTGGCTTTGGGGTTTGGGACAAATCGGACAAACCCTCTTTTTCATAGGATCTAAATAGAATCGTTTTGGGACAAGGAACTTCAGAACTGTGTGAGTTTCCGAGCGGAACATTTCTGACAGTCTCAGAAAGCACGACATGCACAACTCACAAACCCAGGTCGATTCTCCACTTCCTCTACTTGATAGGATCCTTGTGAAGTCCCCGTAGTTGGAAGATATCCAGAGAGAGAGATTACTGTGGAGCAGTACGCGGAGCATGCTCAAGGGCTGCTGCCTCCTTGTTTTCACTAGCTGTTGTTTTCCTTGGAACTGGTTCTGGAAAGCTAAGGCAGTTAAGGTTCGTTCTTGCCACCCAGGCCCTATGCCAAAGAAGCAGTTTGACACAGATTCCGACACTTCAGACACTTCAAATCACCGAACATCAAATCGCTCTTCGCTCCGAACCCGAACCCTGCAGGGCGTGAATGTGCACGGTCTCTTTTTGGAGGGTGCCGGATGGGAAGATGGCAAGGGTGAGGACGAGGCCCCGGAAAGCCCGTGTCGCCGGTGCGTTCGGGGCGTCCCAAACACTCCGGAACTGGTTGATGGTTTGATATGTTTTTTGAATGTTCAAGCTTTACTTGGGATGGTTGAATTATATATATAATATTGTTTCAATCCGAGTGGAACATCGCTCCATGGGATTGGCATGTTTACTGCCCCCACGGACCGACAGACTGGGTCAGGGTTTCGGCAAACGTGCCATTCTGATGATCTGACGTTGAAGCACGACCCGTGGGACGTTCAAGTGGAACTGGGGTGGGACATCCGGCGGAAGGTTTACAAGACCTTAGTATGATGGCCACTGTAGCTCTTGCCACTATAGTATATGTACATATACTTGATGTATATATAGTGGCCATTTTACAATTATACAAGTATATACAAGTTGTAGCTTTGCTGCGATGCTCGTTTATCGATAGCTTAAACGATCACCATGTAAGCAGCAAGGCCGTGATCAGACACGATTGGTAGACACGCTGGTCGAAATGCAGACTGTACTTGCAAAGACCTAAGTCCCTAAGTTGGCCGTTTGCGCGGAGCTTTGCATCTCATTCACTTGGATCGACATCATATATGAGATATAATTTATAGTTTATGTTTGTCACACTGACGTTTTCCTGTTGTTGAAATGGACCTCCTGAAAGTGTGGAGCCGCCTCCAGGACATATAGCCCCACCGGAAGCGAACATCGCCAACTTGTCCTGGACGGAAAGCTTCTCCTCTCGGGGGTACTCTACTAACCCTGCCGTTGCAAATCCCTGGGTAGCCTAACTTGGCTTCATCCGTGAGGGCTACATTACTGAGAGCAAGATGAAGGACTTGCATCCAACGATGCCGGTGGCTGGGCAAGCATGGGGATCGGCAAGAATGCCATTGTTGCAATGTTGCAGAACACTGGGTGTTCAAGACATTGTGAGAACAACGGAGAGAACTGATTGGTGGGGAGCCTGTCAATTTGTTTACACAGGATCCTCCAAGGTCCAAGAAACAAGTGAATGATCACTACTTCAGGTAGGTGGGAACATCGAATCTTTCACGACATTTCACGGCCATCAAGATCGTATACATTCGAGTGATGTAACGATTCCCTGAGATAAGAGTCAAATACAGGGTTGGTTAGAAAAGCTTGGGATAGGGAAGCAACCCACCTCTACCCCTTCTTCTTCACCAAAAACACAACGTATAGTATAGACCCCCGTTTAGAGAATAAACCTCGATCCGCCCGCCAAACTGCTTCACGCCGCACTTCCGCCAATCCGTGCCAACCTGTCCTCTCCCGCGCCGGCCGTTGGGGCACCGTTTTCGATCGCTGCACCGGGCACCGCGTGAGGTGTGCAACATCTTCGCCGTGCACATTGATGAGATGGACTGGACGGCGATGTACCACTGCAGCTGGGACTGGACGGGGAGCCACTCAACGATTCTCACATGACTGGAGCCATTGTGGGAGGGCCTGTGGGTTCAACATTTTGTGGGACTTCAATAGCCTTTTTTGCTGGTACCCATCATCGATGGTATCATGAGATTGCAGGCGTAATGATTATTTTTTCACATGCAAGATTTGGTAAATAAATAAACATGGCGTGGTTGTTCCTTCAAATTGGATCATCCATATGCAGTGATGTTCAACAAAGGTGATACAGTATACCTACAACATCCTACAACTTTGTGGTCGAAAAGGGCGAAATGTGCATTTGTTGTATTAAACTAATGTTCCATCTAGGGTGGAAGTGGATCCCTTGAGAGATTGTGTGTTCTCAAACTAGTTCCCTTCGCCAAATGTATAACTTGTGAGCCTTGGGGCATGCTCTCCACAAGTGTAGAACAACTTATTATGTTGTTTTTTCTTATAGGAAGAAGAAGGTAGAAGAGGCCTTGCTTTCAAGCATCATCCACCAAGCAGGTCGTGGGCTTTTTCAGATCCAACCTTTGCATTTTGAGGGATGCACCAGAATGGTAAGCCATGGTAAGCCCCACTGACGGCTTTTGTGCCAACCCTCCATATTTTGGGCATTGCTGGTCTTTGCACGTGATCAAGAAAGGCTTTTGGCTTTTTTTTATGTTTTTTTCCTTTTGGCTCAAAAACTCTTGTACTGAGGTCCGGTCTTCTCAACCTCCTTGCGCGGTGCGACCTTCATCTTCGTCGCGAACGTCCGTCGCTGTTCTCGAACGCTGCCGATGGCGATCCGGGGCGGAGCCGGTCACCGGTCGCTTCCCCCCCGCCCCACCGGAGCTCCGGTCACGGGAAAACACGTTCGGGAGTGGAGTGAAACACCTGGAAGATGGTGAGAAATGGTGAGGGAAGCTGCAGCACTTTGGAATTGCTGAAGGGTTTTCCTGCATCCATGGCAGTGGATCCGCATGCGTACATCTAGACGCCCATTCGGGGGATGGTTGGGGCCGGCCGTGGGCGGCCTCCAGGTGTCAGGCGGGAGGAGGGACCAACAATGACCAACATGTCCTTTCGTCATTGATGTTTGTTCTATTTTATTCTTATCCTGTGTGTTACATAAAGCGTGCATCATGGATACAACCCCTCCCAGCCAACAACATGAGGTGCATATTGGGGTGTGTCTTGTTACTAGTAGCCATTGTTACTAGTAGTACTTCCAGGAGCTACTAGTAGCGTCCTTGTTTCTAGGAGCGATGCCAGGAGCTACGTTCGTAGCTTCTCGCCCGGCTGACGGCCAAGGCATGGACCCAGATGACAACGAGTACCGTTGGGTGCTGGCCGGCGCCGCCATGCTCACGCAGGCGGGAAGTCCGAGTGGAAAGCGCCAGTCGGAGGACTTTCATCCTCTGCCGGTGAGACGTGAGGATCACCAGGGAAAGCGTGTCAGACAGTCGTCATGTGAAGCCCCTGGGTTCCACAACATTTATGAGGGATAAAGGCGGTGATTCTGTTCAATTCCCCGTGGACGCGAGAAGAGTTTGGAACATTTTCCACCCCAAATTGGCCCTTTTGGTGTTTTGCCGTTCACTCATCGGAAGGACAGCAGCAATTGAAGTGTTTCTGCCCGTTAATTACACAGTTGTCCAGTAGTTTGTCCCGTATATTCCTGAATAATAGAGCATACAATGCACAAGCAGTATCATGCAGTTCCCAATGCTGTATACCATATAGAACCAGTAGTTTTCCCGACTCTAGTCGAGCTGGCCGCTCCTTTATACACACGAGAGCTTCGTTTCCAGTGATTTACAATTATACCGAATAGTATATATAAGCTAAAAAGAAAGCTTTAGGAGCTTTGCTTTGAGGACGCAGGGCAAAGAGCGTCAAGCGGGCAAACATGGACCAAACTCACCATGAAGCTTGACACTTGTTTGATTGGCAATGTATGGTCTAACTTGCAGTTTGAGCCAAAGGGAGTAGTGGACGAGACATTTCTCACTTTCTTCCCCCCAAATCTTGGCAGTCAAGTCAAGTGCTTGCATGGGACTGTTGTCATCCATATTACCATCCAGCCCAGGCGGATTGATGCCGGCGACGCCGACCTGGCGATGCCGTACGAGTTGAAGAGATGGAACGGCGAGGTTTCGAGGTTTTTCACGGGCCAAGATTCTTTTCCAAAGTCAAGGACAACGAGATGCCATGAGATGTTGGCTGACTAAAGCCTGTTTAAAGCTTACTGACATTCTTAAGCCATCAAGGAGCATGTCTCCGTCTTGAACATAGGTTTTCAATACAGGAACAAACAGGATCAAACAGAGTTTCAACAGATCAGAACAGATCAGAGGTTTGCCTTGGCCCTGCGTGTTCATATATGGAGCTCACTTGATCGAGGCATTTTCCGCTGGGCGCAAGTCCGGAGAGTGGCAGGCTGAAAGATATTGACAGACTTCTTGCGGCTAAGAATAGTACAGTTTGGTCAAGACAGCCTTTGTTAAAACCTTCTCGATGTTCCTCAAATCAGGACCTTGCTTGGCCTTTTGCATCTCAGTAGCTGCACCTGGAATGAAACTGCGGGTCTTAGCCACCAACAAAAAGGACTCAATCTTTTGTTTTCAGCATTTTGTAGAGGAATTCCCCCAATCACCATCCTACAGCGATTAGAATCGGAAATGTGGTGCCCTTTTCCAGGATATGCGTACAGTGATTTGAGGGTATTGGGGGGGTAGAATCCCCACGTGAAACATGCGATGCCCGAGTGATACTCTACCGTGGTCAGTGTGGATTGTGGAAGACTGGAGTGCCTATCCCTATCCTATCCACTAATCAATACTCGTAAGGGTTTGTTCTTACAGTAGGCTTGAGCAAGCTCATGGGGGTGATTTCCTGATCGCCCTCTGTCAGTGATATACCTTCCGTTCAAACCAACCAATGCCGCCACCTCGTTTCCTGCCCTGCTCGCGGACCGTGGATCCTGCGCTCCAGCTTTCCTGCTTGGACCGAGTGCCATCCCTCAAGGCTCCACCCCTCAAAGGCCCCGGAAGTTCAGCGGCATGAGGGGGAGACCCCTTGGGATGCCTGAGAGAAGGGGGGGTACTGAAACACAATCTTCATTCTTAAGCGGTACTTCCGAATTTTTATTAAGAATATATCTCTCTATATACAGAATTAGACTTGAACATGCCTGTCAATTGAGGAACAAAGTTTGAGAAGTCTTGCAAGTGTTGAAGAATTTTGATCCTGCGTCCCGAGATTCACTTCCTCCCGAGTTTGCTTAGTTGGCGTACTTGTACCGTAGCATCAACCAGTGAAGGTCTTCCAACATATTCTTTTTGGAGGATAAATGTATGAGCAGCCCCGTTGATGTGTTGTGTTATCATAGTTGACAGGATTCCCATCCTGGCCATTGGCCTGGCCAGCCCGCCGCATGCAAGACCGCTTCCGAATTGCATGGGTGACGTAGGCTTCTTGCACCCAAGCTAGCCGCTAGCCTCCAGACACTCAGCACAGATTGTGGTCGCAACTTGAAGTCTTAAGAAGGTCTTCCAAGATGAAAACTGCGGTGGTTTGGGTTCCAGGGCTAGAAGGATATTGTATGCAAATGTAACTTCTGTTTTTGAAGGGTGGGTTGCTGACAAGACAGTTGTCGCCCTTGGTTGCACCCTGCACCACTTGGGCTTTGGACCTTTGTGCCTAGTGCTTGCGTTTTTTTCACAAGTAAGTTCCCTGTATCGGATGCTTTTGTGCGAGGCTATGCCTTTGCAAAACAATGCAAAAAACATGATGACAATCAAGCAGTGTGGTTGTGGCTTGGATAAAAAATAATACAAACTGGCAACAGAGAAGTAAAAGTCACTTAGTGGATCTTAGTGGGACACTTTTATTTCCATGTGGAAGATTCCGGAAGTGGAAATTCCACTATTGGGTGCACCGAATGTTCCCCTCATCTCCAACTACTTTGGCCTATGCAGTGGGGGGCTTGGAGGTGACACTCGCACTGTGAATTCAACGGACGCTTTGAGCAAGTGCTTTGAACGCGCTCACGAACGCGCTCTCAGCGGCTAGCACAGTGCCAGCCAAAGCGTTTGCGCACGAAGTCTTTGATTTTTCAAGCTTTGCGCAGGAATGAGCGAAGTTCCACCTGCAGCAATGCGAGAGAATGAAGGTCAAGCGTACGCATGGAAACCAGAACCCCTTGACCAGAGCTTCTTCACCACAGCCAGACTGCTTTGGAGTTGACCTTTGGATGCGGTACTCGCCGCAAAGACCATTTGAACATGGAGAAGGGAACGAATGTGCCGCGTTCAGCGGCAGGGCACCAATAGCAGGTTTCCGAAGGGGTCGGCATGTGGCGCCCAGGCAAGTTCATTGGATGTTCATTGGTAGGATGGCAACCAAAAGAATTATGAACCGCTTGGAGCAGACAAGGGATTCAGTGTCAGTGGCTGGCACGCTGTAGTTTAGCTTTGCATTCACACTCACGTTCATTCACCTTTATCCCCCAGCAGTGCACCGTTTCTGCGAAGCCTATCACGCAGGTGGAGAGAGGGGTGTCGAACACATATATTTTATAATCTATCATACTTGCATTTTTCAAAGTTCCAAAGTTGCGCTTGCTGTTCCAATGGAATCCGACGTTCGCAAGTATTCTCACAGCTCATACGTTCAGACATTCCTTCAATGGGGAGGGTTGCCCCATGCATTCACATTCTTCAGGAGGTCCGCTTTTAGAGTGGTCATACTGCGGGAACACAGTACATGTTGATCAAGCCAATCAAACCTCTCATTGCATTGCAATTTCTAAATCCCACGGTCCCACACTCAGATCATTTGTATACATTCACATCCCCCCAAAGTAGACAAAGGCTACGCGCCGCGGTGCCACTTCTTCCTTTCAATTGGCCTGCCCAGTCACCGAACAATGTGCTCCGAGACTGCCTCCGTTGCCGCGGTTTCCTCGATGTGTTGGTAACAAGCCCTTTTAGGTTTGGCCAACCTGGACACAGTGAATCGGCGCAGAAAGAATTAAAAGCCAAGCGAATCGGTCGCACAGAGGGTTTGCGTCCGAGGTTTGCCTCCAGGGTGAGAAAGCTCATCGGTTTTCCCTATCATGTCCATTTGCAAAACGCCTCAGCACAGCCATGCTGGAGACATCTGGAGACGGTTTTTCGCAGGTCAGGTGCGAAGAATGTCCGATGCGCACCGGGCACACCACGCCGGTCCGTGGCGCGTCCGTGGCGCACCGCGGCGGTCCGTGGCGTTCCGGGTCCCTTGGCCCAGCGCCGGAGCGGCGAGGCTTTTGCCCTCGGTGGAGCTGGAGCTCTCGGAGCAGGACAGGGTGCTGACAAAGCCGGGGTTGGAACAAGGATTGATTTTGGAACATAGAGGTCTAAAGGTCTCAAGAAAGAAAGCTAAATCAGAACCTACATATATAATATACCTATATAATCTGAAGTCGCCGTCGGTTTCCTGTCGTTGGGATTTGGCCTATAGCTCGACAAAGCCCAGTAGCAGTTCTTGAACACAACTGTATTTGTAGCACCGAAGCCTCATACCCTCACGTGGTCAATCTGTTCATGTCGACCCAAAGTCGCTAAAAAGACACTTCGATCTAGCACCTTTCGACTTCTTCGATCTGTCCACTGCAGTTCTTAGACTTCCAAACCCAAAACCTCACCCACCCGGACCGAGGTCGGGACGAAGTGTTCCACCAAACACCGTCCCGCGGCACCGTCCGTGCAGGAAGCCGCCCTCCTGGAGCGCAAGGACGGAGCGTCCGGGCGACGGAGCGCCGGAGACGGGAAGGCCAGTTTTCGTAAAGCTCCCCTGGTTGAAATAGTGTTACTAGTAGCGAACCTTGTTACTAGTAAGTAAGGCACTTGTTACTGAAAGCGATGCAGTTGTTACTAGTAGCTTCTTGTTACTATAGTAGTAATTAAGGTTGGAGGCCATGGATACTGGGTTGGAGGCCATCGCTTCTAGGTTGGAGGCCATTCCTATTGGGTTGGAGGCCATGGCTCTTAGGGTGGAGGCCATATAGTAAGTATAGTAAGTATTAACTACCGCACCCGTGGCCCTTCGCGGTCCACGAGGCAAGATCTGCCTGTGACATTGGCTCCCTTCGTGTGTCCTTGTGTGTGATTTTTATGTGCGTGCCAGGAAAATCTGGCCCCTCTCCAGTCTTTGAGAGAGGCTGAGAAGGCCTGGGATTCATCAACTGGCTTCTCGTAGAGTCACGAAAGAAGCCTGAAATGGGCATGTGGAGACAGGTTGTGGATATGTTTATTCTGCTTTGCGTGCTTTGTTCGTTTTCTTGGCCAGCGACCTGTACTAGAAAACGAGTTGGTATTCACAGGCATGTATTGATGTTCTCAACCCCAATCCAAATCCAAGGTGCTTGGAACATTCGTGACTGAGCTTGATGCGGTGTTTTTTCTCCTAGCCCTTTGCTTGTGTGGTTGTTGAAGGTAACTGTTAGGGGAGTAGGGCTGGTTGAGGAAGGAAGCAGTTTCCCGCAGAAGCTCCCGCAGAAGCTGCACCAGAGTTGTAGAGACCCAAATGCAGACCATTCAGTATGTCCTTCCCCAGCTACAGCCGGTTGTATCACTGGTGACTGCCTTCCCAACCCCTTCTCCTTTGTGTTTCGACTTCGGCAGCGTGACTCGCAGGTGCTCCACTTCGGCATTTTCGTGGTCTTCCCCGATGGCCGAGAGGAGCTGCAGGCGCGGAGCTGGAGCAGCATGTGGTGTCGACCTCGGGCGGTGCTTGAACAAATTGATATGTTTTGGACATACGGTGGTCAATGAATGGATATAATATTATACAACATGACATTTGTATATATATATATATTATATCATATACATGCGGATAAGTGTATGTGTTTATGTGTTTTGTTTTAATATACATATATAGTTATACTAGTACTGGTGAACTGTTGTATTCATCGATTTTAAACTCACGGGGAATTATGGAGGTTCAAGAAGCGCCTTGACCAAAGGGCCATAACAAAGAAGTGGCTTTAGGAAGGAGCAGGGTTATGTAACACATGGGTTCAGCGGGATGAAACCGACAGCTGTGACTAGCAACAATCACAGCGACAGCAGCACCAGCACCAGCAGCAGTCAACAGCAACGAAAGCAAAGACAAAGGCAACAACAGCAAAACCCCAACAACAATCAAATTCAGAGAAACAATGCAGCACAATCAGAAGTTCAGAATTGAGAAGGAACTTCTCCAGCAAGATGTAGCGCAATAAATAAGGGATAAACTGATAAACATGTCAATGGTGGCGGAGGAGAGGCAAACTGCGACCCGAACGCACTGCCAATGTCCGTGAATCCTTACAACTTGATCATAGCTTTAAAGAGTCTTTTGGGGAGTCAACGAATGCTATATGGTTTGCTTCGTTTTCGCAAACACTCCTAGAACTCTCAGAATCGTGTAACAAGTACTACACAGAGTAGTACAGTGCCCTCAAGTTTCATATGCCTGGGAGGTCAACCTACCGGGTGAAACGGTCTTCGGTTGTTGACCGCGGAGCATCCGCCCCCACCCAAGAAATCCACCGAGGTGAACCCCTGCGAGGATGGCTCCAGCCTTTTGATCCAGCTGTGGCGTTGGAAGAGGAGCTCATACAACCATGAGGGGATATATCGATTCTTGCATCATGGTGTATCCTTTTTGCTCCTGTTTGCTTTTGCGGGGTTTGGACGTACTTGTACCTTGTGCTGGAGTTGTTTGAAGCTGATGAACCCTCTCTCAGGGACTTCTATGGGCTCAAGCATGAGGTTGGTAAGTCCTTAGTCCATATATAATATATATATATAACTATATATATATATAATATGGTGACAAAAGGCACGATGAAGATTCCCACCATTTTTTCGGACTGACATTACAATCGAATGTGTAAAACATGAAAGAGAACACATGGACATCTATCCATAATACATAATATTTGCCGCCGTTCTTTTCGGGTTTCCTGGAGTTCCAAGTCACATCACTCGTTATCAGTCATATGAGCCATGCACCATGCACAGGACTCATACCTTTCCGGACGACTTCGCACTGTGCGGAGCTTGGCACATCACACAAAGGGAGGCGAACTCCCAGTGATTGCATGATCTTGACCTTCTATTAGGATAATGGTGTTTGAGCCAAACATTTCGAACGATTTGGAGTATCTGGGCGGTTAGAACATCAATGAACCATGCAAACAGTGGCAAGGTCGATGTTTTTTTGTGCAACGCAGAAGCGTCCTTGGAACCACAAGACACTGCCCGTGGACGATCCACGTCAACCCACCAGCTTTGGTCTTCCCCATGGTCATTCCAAAGCGTTGAGGATCCAAAAGGGTGGCACCATAGCTACTATAGTAACAAGAAGCTATTCGGGGCTCCTGGCATCGCTACTAGGAGCAAGGACGCTACTAGGGGCTCTTCTGATTCTTGGATGGATGAGTCCCACCTGTGGCGTGGTTCTTCAGGCCCGTCCAGTATCCAGGCCCTATAGCATTCGCTCCCACTGAAGGTTTTCTTCGGAGCTTTGCTTTACTGCACCTGAAATGATCACTGTTTATGTGGGGAACCAAGGAGACACCATGATGGAATTACATTCTCAAGGCGTTTTTCGAAACTTGCATATGAAACCCATCCAATGGCCTTTCAGCCTGGATAACATGTTCGCATGTCTTCCAATTTCAACGGTCAGGTTCCATGTTCGTTTGCTGAGCGGGCAATTCCAAGAGATTCTGAAGCCTTCCAATCCCAGCCCTCCGAGCAGCCAAGGTTCTTGCCTTCTGGTCGGATCCTGGACTTTGAGAAGCCTTTACAGGTGGGGATCATTTTTCGGATCGTTGTTGAACTGAACCAGTCACTACTGGTCACCACTGCAGGTCACTCCAATTGTTTCTGCAAGCCTCTCCGCGCTCGCGATAGCATGCAGGTTCAGGGGGTTCATGGCGGGTGTGAGCTCCAAGTCGAGGCTGGTCGAGCTGAGAGTTTCGTAGAAAGCTCAAAGGGAGGGTCTAAAGTTCGTTTCGTGGAAACAGCAACACAGTCGTTGGCACCTGCAGTGTTGGATCTGCCGTTGGCACCTGCAGTGCGTGTGTGTGTTCTGTTCTTTCAAGTGGGATTGCGATATGTTTGATGATGGTTTCGGGCAATCTCAATACGATTCTGGTGATTTGTTCTTGGTTCTTTGCGAGTTGCCAGCACGGTGAAAGCTCAGGGCGACACTTCCCATGTTGCAGCTGCAAACTTCATAATTGCAGTTAGCTTCAGGGTAGCCAGTGCAATTCCCAGAAGGGTGGATTGGACCACAGCTAAGAATTATATTTTTGACGTATGCCATATTCCATTTGCTCCAGGCGGACTTGGAAGATCCACATCGGTTTTGTCATCACTCAAACACGCAAGTCATGAGTCATGACTATTCCCAGCCATATTCAGCATGTACATCCACCATATATGCCTATTCACTCCCAACCCTATCCTTATTTTGGCTCATTCACTTGGCCCCACTCGCCCCCACCAGGCCGCGCCGCGCATTTCGCCGCTTCCATCAGAGGGGCCTGCAGGGCCCTGAGTTGTCGCGAGAGGATTCTCGGAACCCCCCAACAATCCTTGAGCTTCTGAGCAATTTCTTGAAACATTTGCCACATGTCCTGCTAAGGACTTGAGCCCGGCGCCTGGCAGGAATGAAGAGAATGAGGAGCAGGAGAGGAGTCTTTGCTTGCCGTGAGGCTCCAATAACATGAGTTCTAATGTGCTATTTTAACACACTGATAACTTCGAGCCTCACGAAGTAGGTCTTTAGGTGGTAGCAGAGCCGTTGCACTTCTTCCAAGATTTGCATTGGGAAATACACCCACTAGGTTGGAGGCCATCATTAGGTTGGAGGCCATCGCTACTAGTAACAAGAAGCTACTAGTAACAAGGGCATTGTATCAATTTGTTTCATTTTGTTTCTGTCCATTTGGAGCGTCATGACTCCTTGCATCTCCTGAAGCGTTTGCGGTTTGCGGGCGTCTACTTCTCTCGCTTCTCCGTTTTTTCTCGCAGCTCGTGGACGTGGATCGGCACTTGGGCTCCGGCCGAAGCAGCAACATCCACAAGAAAACACATGTGTGTCTCAAAAAAACATCTAAAAAAACCCAAGGCATCGAAACCGCTCTTCCAACTGTGGGGCTTGAGAAAGCAGCAAGAATGGCCATGGGCCAAGCTTTCGGATTGTTTTCATTTCCATTATGATGATGATGATGATGATGATGATGATGTTGCTGCTGCTGCTGCTGCTGCTCATCATGGCCGTGTTTGTCCAGGAGCTTGGCTTTGACGACGAGGCCTTCGCCAGAGAGGTCGGCTAGACGACACACACACTGCATGTGGTTTTTGATTTGGCTTCCAGGCCTAAATCCCAGTGTTGTGAACGGAATGCCAAGCATCCCAAGCCCTCAAGCAGGGCAGTTTCTGAGTTTTGTGGGCGGTATTCTCCAGGTGGAGAATGGATGGAACCTCATCTACTGGCCTCTTTGCGTCGCTGGGGAACCCAAGAACCGTCTCGGCCGCTGGGGAGCCCGGGAGCTGGGGCGGTGGGTGGGGCGGTGAAAAATCGCCCAAATGAGACTGGAGAGAAATGCCGAGTCGTAGTACGTCGTGCACTAAAAGTGGGTGTGTATTTTAAGAGGGAGACCGATCCCATCACCAATGCAGTTTTGGTCCTATTTCTCTGTTTCCAGCGGGTCGTTGCCTGGCAGGTCTCTCTATTTTAAGACACACTCTTAATTGACCAAAAGCACCAAACCGGCCAAGCGGCCAAGCCAAACATTTTTGCTTCCAGCATTGGAGAGACAGTGGTTGTTATATGAGAGCAACATCCGGAAGCACGTCCCTGGTTCTGCAACAAGTTGGGTTTCCGTGGCAAATTGGCAGCTCAAGCAGTTCCTGCTGCAGATGGAGGTGATTCTCAAGCAGGCGGCCTTTGCCAAGCAGAAGGGGCTTTTCAAAGCAGGGCTCGCTGCGTGGCAAATTTCGACACGAAACTAAGTTGGCCGAAAATTAGGGAGCAATGGCCTAAGATGGTCCATTGATGAGTTTGAGGAAACATTCATGATGTTTGTTCTTCCTGTTCCTCTTATTTATTTTTTTTATTATTATTCTTTTTTTTCTTGTTCTTCTTCTTCTTCTTCTTCTTCTATCTGTGTCATTTCCTGCAAGCGAAAAGGCAAATTAAGCCTTCTTTCCCGCTCTACTTGTTGCATAACCAACACCCTTTTCACATGTTTTCACAGGGCTAGCTTCAGACGAAGGAAGGCTGGTTACCCCTCCGTCAATTGATTTTGCGTACATCTCTCAAGTTATATAAATTACTTTGCATGCTTCACGCACATGGGCACCTGCTCTACCACGAGCCACTTGCAGCTAACAGTTGTTCTGTGCAATTGTTTTTGCGGCATTGTGGTCTGCCACTAAGGCTGGGGATGTCTTGTGGAACCTCATTTCGCCGACAAAGGGAAAGCAGCCTCTGCTCACGGAGGTCTCCTCAGTGGATTTCTTCGTGAGCCACTCATGGTCTTGCCCCTCCTGGATGAAGGCAGCTCGACGGACTCCTTTGGGGCCTGACCCAGGGGCAACGGACCCAGGAAGAAGCGGGTTTTCATGTGGTTTTCCTTTCTTCCAGATGTATTTTGGAACCCACAGGTCGAAAAAGAGAAGGTTCGTAGCCAGGCTGCCCTGCAACTTGGTTGAGGTTTTGGCCATTTGCTACCACCTGAATCTGGATTTGGCAATTGCGCTTTCTAGCCTCGCTTGCTTTCTTGGTTTATTGGCCCTGCGAATCTATGCTGGCAGCCTCAGTCGGGTTGCCTCAGTTGGGGAAGGTTGGCTCTACGGCACACTGATGTGTTCTCCGATGGCTGTTTTCCTCTTGATCTTCTTCCTGGGATTCTAAGACAGCATATTGTGACTGTCTCCCAACGGGGGAAACATGACAAAGTGCCATGAAGACAGAACGAACGTGATGGTTTTTTCCAGGTCTACAGCTGCAACCGATGCTTGGGGTCCTTAACCACTCGGGTCAGGATACCTGCAGTGTGGGGTCCGCCGAGGACACCTGCGAAATGGGCAAACGTTTTGGTTCGACCGGATATGCATCTCAGAGGGCAACCAGATTGAGAAGGCCGACACGATCCGAGCTATTCCAGCCTTTGTGTGTCACTCCAAGCAGATGCTGGTCTTATGGGATGAGACCTATCTTGAGAAGCTTAGCATGGCTTAGCAGCATAGTTTTCTACAGCAAAGTACAGCTAAATATGTAGCCATCGCAAAGTCATCGAGTCAATCTTTGAACTTCTGATTTCTGCTGGGGAACCCCTGGACTTGATCCATAGATCATCATAGATCATCAATGATCATCATATAGATCAGTCACCCCGGGAAAAGCACCACTTGGGAACTCCGAGGAGATTGTGGTGCAACTACGTGCCTTGGCGGCCATCGGATTCGGCCAATTCGTTTCCCCAACCGGATGGGGGGCCTGATCGGGTGGGGCACCCAACGCCCCGGGCCACCGGGAAAGAACCGCCTTGCGCGGCGTTTCCCGAGGCCCACGACCGTCGTTTTCCGATCACCAAAAGGTTCGGGCCAGGTCGCGGGTGGGCTTCAGGACCCAACGATGGTGGGGACGACTTCCCCGAATTCACCGCCACGTGATCAACATGGCATGCATATTATGCATCGCGGAATCGGCGGGCCTGTGTTTCGGTGAAGCCAATCCACTTTGGAAGCGACCCAAAGGGTCCCAAAAGGATGTGTTCAAAACGACCCTCAGCTGATTGTGGGCCCTTCTTGTCTTCAGGAGATGGCGGTATTTGCTCAGACCTCCGCGACACACGAGACCATTTTCCTACCAATGTGGGCTCCCTTGTGGACCTTGTCAACCATCATTGCCATTTTCCTCCTGGTCTTCAGCTATCTGGACCGATGCGACTAGGTCAGTCGATGCGATGCTCTTATTATTTCAAGCCTACTGTGCGGGGAGAAGGTTTTTGGGGGAATCCTGGGGGGATGGTACGCTTTTTGGAAGCATGCGTATGTGATTTGAAGCAGGGAGGAGAGGAAAGGGGGCACATCTAATTGTGTTCGGGGACGACTTCATTTGATCTGATGTGATTTGATCACTCGAAGGCTTACTGGCTTACCCTAGCTTATGAGGTTGATCAAGGTCAAGGTTTGTTATTTGTAGAGATGAACATAGTAGCACATCCCACTACACTTCAGTCATAGGGTGCAGAGATTTTCTAACAGAACCTAGTTTAGTTGGTAGATGGAAGCTCCAGCCGATGGGAACCAGGCAAAAACCACGGATCTGCCATGTAGGCTTGACGAAACGCTGGCAGGACACCTTGCCTCCACACTTGGACATTGACAGTGACGTCTCACTCTTTTTCTCCTGGTTCAAGTGCGCCAATGTGCCGAGGAGAAGTTCACCACCAGCCTTATGCGTTTTTTAAGCTTGCTACATCGCCAGCTGTTTTGTTTTTTTTCTTTTTTTTTTTCCGGTCCTCTATCTAGTTGAGGCCCCAGCTTTGATTTGCATAATCAAAGACCTGGGTTTTGATCTCCACTTTGGATCCTCATTCTCCCTCGCAAGGAGTTGCAGTTGGAAAATCCCAGACACTCCATGGGACTGGCATATATATTATATATATATATACACGCACACACACCTAGATCGGGATGGTTTTAGGGGTCAATGCAGGTAAATATTCCAATCCCGTGAAGCGGTTGGTAAGTATGAATCTTTGACCATGTCTTGGTCGCCCGTCGGCACTTGTTCCAAGGTGCCCTTCGATGCCTGTGCCATGGCTGCTTGGCCTCGATCATGAAAAGCCACCGGAGACCCCAAAAAACAAACACATCGATGATATCAGATATCAACAACATTGTTGTTAGTTGAAAGAAGGGATGGGGTGGGGAAAACCATTGCAGATTGTGTTTTTCTCCGCATTTCACCCAATGATGTTTTGGATGATTTGAGGCTGCCATCCCCATGAGTTGGTTCTGTTTCCACAAGCTGCATGGTCACGAGCTCATGTTGGACCAGCCGCTTGGAAAATCATGCTAAGTTCGGTGGGAGTCCGTGGATCTGAGGGGTTTTGTGAGAGTGGATGAGTATCCTGTTTTTGATGCGAGTCTTTCTGTGGAGGATTGAACAATTGTTCATTGAAACGGACAAGGAAATATTAGAACATGATGGCTTCGGAAAGGGGATCGATCAAATCTGTTGGCCACAAGCCACGGATAGAAAGCAACCAGAGTTGCAGCACTTGTTGGGAGACCAGCAGGGTACCGATGCTGGAGATTCGCTTGTTGGTCACCAGCTGTTGAGGGGGAGAACTTCCCTGTGACTTGCCTCTTTGAGGGGCGATAGTGGCCCATGCATCCCACTAGCAGCCATCATCCACTGACCCAGCGACCTTGGAACCCTTGGTATCCTTGGTCTGACCCAGCGACCTGTGCCCCATTTGCTGGTTTGGTGCTTGTGGAGTCTACCACCAGGCACTGGTAGATGGCGGGAAGACATCCCTTTTTCTCGGGCGCCGAAGCACAGGCCCATAGTATCGAAGGCAGAGTATCAAGTCTGTTACAGTAGTCCCGAGTATCTGTGGCCCTCTTCGGCGGGTCCTGTTGCGCGCAACCCAAGTCGTGCCGCAACTAGGCTAGCCATCGCGAGCAACCCCAGTCGTCCGTGGCTTTTCTCGCGCGGTTTTTTCGAGGATGTCGACCTTTGACCTTATGAAAGCGAAGTGCACTTTGGAGACGGACCGCTTGGCGATGGAGCGCTCAGTGCTCAAGCTCTTCGACCGCCCGCGCGGACAGAAGTCGGAAGTCGGACGCAGCGCAAAGTCCGAGGAGGACGCGGAGGGGCGTTCCGTGGAGATGGTGCCGAGCACAAGGAGAAGACGAGCAGACGGGGGGAGAGAATGCGGAGTGCTTGGGAGTGGGAAAAAGAGAAGCAGTCGTTCATGCATCTGTTGGATTGCTTGGACATTAAATCATATGAACATACAATATGAAATGGAGTCATTAGTCATTTGACCTTTTTGAGACGTGCTTGCTTGGACTGGCTTCAGCAGGACTTGGTGATTTGATGGGATTTGGTGGGCTTAAAGAGGGTTGGTTCAGATTGCATCTGAAGGAACAAATGCTACACCCACCGTGTCACCCACCTAAACACTTCTGGGATTTTAGAGAGCCTAGCAAAGAACACATGGTGGTGCAGGATGTTGTCCTTTAACAGTCAACGAGAATCCTATAAGAAAAATGTTGTTGACTGCATGAGGTGTAAGTATACCCCTGCACATAAAGATAAAGACTTGATTTGGGACATGCTTTCTCAGATCAATGATCAATGGCACAAGAGATTTGGAGTCCCACCTGTGACACAGCTGGTCAGCCAAAAAAAACACAAATTCAGCGTGTCCAACGGTTTGAGATGGTAAAACGGATGAATCAATCCATCATAATTCCATATCTCTTCAACGGAAAAGAACTGACTTCTGTGCCAGACAATCCATTGCGACCTCTTTCAAGCCAAACACGCAACGACCACGACCTCGTCGCCGTCTCCGACACACCGCTCGTCGAGGACAGCGCTCGACGAGTTGGACATGGTTCCGTTGAGGTCGGAGCGGTGCACCATCCTCGAACGCTTCAACTCCTATGTGCGGGGCCCCTTGCGGGACCATGTGGTCAACCTGATGGGCAAGGAGACGCTTGGCCCGGGAAATCATGGAAAAAGGCGAGGGCATATTTGCTTTACAGCCTTTTCTCTAGTTGTTGGCCGCAAGATGCTGGTTGAGAGTGTATTATTATATATTGCAACAACAATAAAGAGATGCTTGTTTGACATCGGATGCCTCATCTGAAGCGAGAATTTTGACTTGTGCATCTAAATTGCTCAGAGTTTCTTGTGTCTTTTTTGAGCTTTGTAGTGGTAATCCCCAAAGCGCGCGTGTCGCGTTTTTTTTTTGAGGGGTCTTTTTTTGAGGATCGGACCTGCATTTGGAAGTAATGAACTCACTTGTGTGGAAGGAAACGTTTCAGGGGATGTGCAAACAAATGAGGCCAAACATCGAGGAGGCACCTGGTCCAGAGAAAGAAAAGAAATGAACGAAAGCAAGAAAACAACTTGTTTGACAGGCTTTGTTTTTCTCAGACCATCTCAGACATGTCAACATATATGGTATGTTTAGGGTTTGTTCTATTACCTGTAACAGTCGGTAAACAATTACATACAATTACTATTATTGAATAAGGCCTGCAACCCAACCATCATCCACTCTTACAGGTCATCTAGGATAGATCCATATAGATCCAAGGTATGTTGATATTCTCAAGACAGGCTTTCGGATGCGTTCTCTTTGTGTCCTTTTCTGGCTCGATCCGACGGCGCCTCCCAGGATCGACGTGCCCTTGAAGTGCCTCGGACCGGGTCGGACCGGGAGGTCGGACGGTTCATGTGAAACAGGATTGAACAGCCAACTCTAGAGCTATAGCTAGCTGGTCTAGTAGTAGGGCCAACTCTAGAGCTTCTTGCTACTGCTAGAACTGCCCGGCCCTATAGCTAGCTACGTTCGGAAAGGTCCTGACTCCGTTCGTAGCGATGCCCTGTGCCCCTATAGTATAGCTTCTTGCTACGATGTTCATCATTTCTCAATTATTTCTTTCTCAGATCGCCAGGTTCCGTCTCAGCATCATTGTTAACTTTGTTTTCTCAGGTTGTGTCCGAAGAGCATCTCAGACCCAATCTCTTAAACAAACTCTGCTTCCTTCCTACCCATGGTTTCCTGACCCTTTTACATCCTTTTACCTCGACCTGTCGACCTACAGCTGCTCTGCCAGTTGAGGTTGTGCTTGACGGTGGCCCTGCCCAACTGGTGGTGCGGACTCGTCACTGTTTTGAGCTGCCACTCGGGCTGTTGATTTTGCTCCATTGAAGGTCCAAGATCCTGCATCTCAAGCGGTTTTGCAAGGGGATCTTCAATGGAGACTGTCAATGATAATCACCTCCCCATTCTTACAATCCATTATCTGGATATTATCTGGATTGTAGAGCCTCTCTTCTTCAAAAAGCTTGATGCATCAGCATTCCAGCTTGGCCGTTGAGGTTCCACGTAGTGTTTCCGTAATTGGGTGGTTTTTCGGACCCGATGGCCACTTCGGCCTGGCATGGGCTGTTGCTTTTTGTCTGGTGAATCCACACATCTGAAGAACCACATATGCCCCAGGTGCTTTAGTAGGACAGTCCCAGCAGATGAGAGTACAAAGAATCACTTGGGCGCCAGCAAATAGTTACTCATCCTTGGAGATACGAAATAGAGCCCCAGAGTTTGTTTACTGGATGTTCCTTTCTAAAGACTACGACTTCCTCAGGTGATCGGCGTTCGGATTGTGAGCTTTCAGCCTCAATGGAAGGTGCTCGGACGGCAAGTGGTGGGGTCCTGCTGGGAGGTCGAGGTGGTGGGAAGCTACAACCAGGGCCCCTCAGCTGAGGATGGTGACCAGTGGGGAAGTATGAATATAGATTAATATAGGATCTTCTACCAGGTTTTGACTGTAGCTGAAGTGGTTTGGCCTTTGATGTTTAACTAATGATGTCTACATTATCGTGTTTACAGCAATATTGAGCTGTGTTGGACACATTCCTGTGTTCTTGGGACATAACTTTGATCGATAGATTCAGAGATGAGGATTGGACTTGAACAAAACCGATGGCTCCCGTGGTATGGGCGCTATTCCCATGACCATCCCCAATAGGTTCCTCTAGCCGCCGATTTTGTCCACTACTCATGTATTGGTGTCAACGGAGCCACTATTTTCATGTGTAGGAAACCATGCTATTCTGTGAAGAGTTTGAAAAGAAGAAAGAAAGAAAGAACTTGAATTCTATTCATTTGAAGGTTCTGAAGAAAGATCGCGGACATGAAGAACGATCGTCGGGTTTTTGTTTGACCGAATACAAGTACACAAACATGAAGATGAATGTGTTAAACACAAATAGAGCATGACCTGCGGTTTCCTCCACAGGTCTACCTTGCCATGCAGGATAGATCTGGCCATCCCTGGCCGATCAAAATCGAGGAAGACGAACATCTCCTGAAGAAGAAGGACTGGGCCCCTGTCCCCCCTTCTAATTGCACTTAATTCTAAGTTATATATATATATATTGTCTCTACTAGCTTCTTGTTCCTAGTAGTAAGGCCCTTGTTCCTAGTAGCGATGCCACGTTCGCCTCGTCACCCGAGGCTATCGTTCTGTCTCAGAATACATGCTCACGACCCTTGGGTGAAGAAAAGAGCAGGTGTTTCCTGAGCGCTTGCTTGAGCTTGTGGTGAAATCAGGGTGAATTGGTGGAGATTTTGTGGTGAGGGGTGCAGTTTCTATTACAGTAGGTTTCTATATTGGGGGGTACATTTTATGGGTTGTTGTAAGATGGGGATCAGGACTTACTTGAATGTTATTTCGCCCTCAAAGGGTCATCCCTTCTTTCTTCTCACAAGCTGGACGGCTCGTCCAGTCCGTCGACCCGCGTTCTCCGGCGTTGGGTGAGGTTGACTCATTCCTTCTTCCCAAGATGCTGAAGTCGGAACAATAGAGTACATGTTTCAAGGACAGTACATTCAAGACTAAACTATATGGACATATCAGAACAAAACAAACCCATGGGTGTTGTGCCTTTCTTTTGTGGGGGCTTGTGTTACAGACCTTCTAGAACCCGCTGGGCACCTGTCTTGACAGGATCCTAAAGACCTTCCAACACTCACTTTTCTACCTGCCCGGCACAGTGAGATTTTTTGAATGATGCAGGCTACGCTTCATCCAAGTTGTCCCCAAAATTGAACGGGTAGTGGCCTTGTCGACGGGATGAACTGATGATACAAACATGCAAACATGTAAAGACACAGCCACAACTTGTTGTTTGCCCCCTGTTGTGACTAGGGCCTGAGGAGTTGGGGGTATTATGGAGCACTAGCATTTCTTGCATGTTCAGAGCAGCACCTGTCACCTGTGTCCCATCAGTTGGTATAACAGTTGATCATGTTAGGCATCACGACACTTCCTCAGAAAGCATTGCGCTAACCTGAAAGAATTGTCCATACAGCCGCCAGCCATGTGGGTGTCCTTATTTTGAGCAATGAGCAGTTTGGCAAGGGTGTTATTCTATGTGGCAAGGTATGAAGGTCATGCCACATGTGTTTAATTGTTATTAAGTATTTCAATTTATATTACACCTATAAATATATATATATATGTATATCACATGTCCTTTCTTTTGTTGCTGGATGTGGAGAAAGCGGCTTTGAAGAGTGACGCCTTTCAACATCGAGTCTAGCAGCCTCCACCCCCTTCGCATGTCCTTGAGATAAAGTCGATTTCCAGATGCCTTTCAGCACACGCTCCACTGGATTGTTTGAGTTTGACCACCTCAAGTTGTGTCGTTCAAAGGGGCCGCATCCTATTTCATCCCTGTCGGACCCATGAACAACACAGGACCACCGGTCAGTCGGACCCTTCCAACGATCTGAACAGGCTCCGACTGACCCCGCCGTTTCCCGAAAGGCCAAAGGGTCTGGTTTTGCTTCGGATCTGAGCCGAACGCGCACCTGGAGACCCCCTCAGTCAACAACCCCCGAACCATCCACCCCAACCATCCTCGAGACAACATCGGTCAACAGCCCCCAATACCAATCCAACCACCTCTTCCCCTCTCACCGGATCAACTGCCGACCCAAAAACGGGCTCCGCAAGCCCCACCCTGTGCCCTCGAGGAACGCCGGCTTGAACCTGGTGATTTCGCCCCTGATGGGCATTTTGTATTTTCCCCTAGCCTTGAGGACCACTCGTTTGGTGGCCGGTCTGGTGCGAGGACCGAACACAGGGGAGGATAGTGGAAAACGGACCTGGGAGGGAGCGGAGCTTTGCTGGCTTTGAAGGGTCAGAACGGAGGAGGAGAAGCAGGAGGAGTGTGTTTGAGTTGGTCCACGACACAGTTTGAGTGATAGTAGAATAGCAATACACTCTGAGTCACTAACATGAAAGTGGACTGCTATTGTTACCCTCGATCACCTTCGAGGTGGCTTGGACCCAGATCAATCATCATGTCCTTGTTGAGTCCTCATGTTTCTTCTCAGGAATCAGCAACCTCTTTACCATAGCTATAGAGTATAAAGGGGGAGTATAAAGGGGTTCCGCAATAGAGATGAACAGAAAATTGAAGTGAAGGGTGAGACCCCTCTACTGGCTGTTAAGAGCCCCCCTCCGCCCTACAAAAGGTTTAAGATACCTCCCCTCCCCCGGGAAAGAAGGAAACCGTTCCCTGCGGGACCCGGGAGACTAGTTTAACTGGTACATCTCTATATGGGCTACTTTTGTTAGGCATTGCTCCGATCATCGCTTCCACGCAGCCACCATGTCAATCCTGCAAAATGATGACGCTCCAACTGCAAATTCTCCTCATGTTGACTACACTTTTCATACACACAGCTTGGTCCTCCGCACACGTTTGTTTGCAACCTTCAACCTTACATAAAGTGCACAAAGTGCACCGCGCATTCATAAGCACGCTGCACATGCATCCGTAGCTCTGCTACATGTTGAGCCAAGTCGCCTCAAGCGTGCCACCTTCATCATGTAGCTGTCGCACTGCCGGCCCGAAACGTGTTTGGCCACATGCTTGAGCACGCCGATGCTGTCCTCCTCTGAGAAGCATGCCCCGATGTCTGGTGTTGTGTTATTGAGCCAGCAAGTGCGCTGTACAATTGCCAATGATCTCAAGTCCAAAGACCCGTTTACTATGACCACATGTAGTAAAATGAGGTCATTGACCAGTAGATCCTATAGACTAGTCTGGATGGAACCCTCATGTGACATGAACGGCATCTAAGAGACACCGCAAGCATCGCTGAGCACATGCTTGTACATGTGCAGCTTCGGCTTCAAAAGCCACGCAATGCGGTTCCGCCTGGCCGCAGCCTGTCTGTGGAACACGGTGAAAGCAATCCAGAAACCAGGTGAAAGCCCTGCCACAAAATGAAACCTGCAAGAGCATGTGCGCGCCTGCCAATCCCCAACACCTGCAGGTGAAAACCTTTCTGACCAGGCGGAAGCCCAGGTTGGACTAAATCCTTGTGGCTGGCCTCCGAGCCAGCCGTGTCAACTTCAGATGCACATTGCACCCAGCATCATGAATCGATCTGGCCTCTGCGTCAGTCCTGAAAGATTATAAATGCACACTGGACTGCACTTCAAAACCCAAAAGCAGCTTCAGATGATCTTCTTGCAAATGTGTTAAAGTCCGCACTCTTTCTGTGAGGGCTTGCACACACCTACGAACTAAAACCTTTGTTTTTGTGTTCCTGAAGGCTTCGTTCACTTGACTCATATCTTCACTACGCGGTATATATGATGCTGCCTCTTGATCGGAGGTTCTGACAGTTGCTCAGACCGTGCAGACGGGAACGTCGCAAACCCACTCCCTACTTGCAAGCCAGAATCAAAAAGCGTCCAGCACGCTCCGACAATCCAAGCCAGGTGCACAAGGCATGCCTTGGATCATGATGAGGCAGCATGAAAAACGGAAGCTGGAGAGAAAGAGAAAGAGACCTAGGAGCTAGACCAAAAGGACAACCAGGTACCCATGAACATCTGGGACGAATTTCGTAATCAGTGAAGGCAAAAAGGGTACCGCACAAGAATCCAAAGTCTTCCACAAACGCCCAACCTTCTACAAGCCCTGGAGGGTTAGCGCCAACCCCAAAGACCTCCAAAAAACTCTGCGAACCGCACATACTTGAATATATCGATCTACGTGTTGCACGCCCCGTTCGTTTTGCGCTGAATTCAACTTAGCTAGACCTAACGCAGTAGCCAGAGTACGATGCCAATGGCTCAGGAAACAACAAAGGAGCAATGTTTGGTGGTGGCCACCCCTTGCGACCTGCCTGAACCTCCTGCGCCAGCCACTTCCCCAGAGTGCGATCGCCGGCATCAAAGCCACGCATCGTGGCCAATTGGACTGCGCATTTATGCAGCCTGCAATATGATGTGCGAGTTCTAAGCTTTCCCAGCCAAATAGGCACAATGAGCTCTTCGATCCACCTCCGACACTTTGAACCTCCTTTCTAGGCATGGAACCTTCTTCATGACGCAGTGAGGTCCTAAAACGCCACACGCAGTTGCTCTTTCAAAAGTTGCTCATGTGCGTGCACTGTACACTGCCCTCCAAATGGGTTCCTTATAAAATTGCGAGTATGAGCCGTTATGATTGGGTATGTGTCTATTGCCGTGCTTTTCAGCGGGGCCAATATTGTATATTTTATTCAAAGTGTTTGTTGAGTCTGTCCAATTACCTGTAACAGTCGGTAAGGAAATATCATGTTTGGAGAAAGGCCATTGCTACCACCATCATCCACGAATATTGGAAATCGGATATACCCAAAATGTTTGCTGTATGCCACAAATATGGACGCCGCAACACACCATGGGCGCCTGCGAGCCAGGACCGGTGGGGCGGATGGTGGCTGGATCCTTGGCCGCCGCCTTGTGGCTTTGATGAATTCGTTTCGGCGTCGTTGTTTGCGCGAAGATAAGAACAGTATCATACCGCAAAATGATTGATTTAATTGTGTATTTCGCAAATCTTGGAGATTGGCGGGATCGTGATGTTCTGATTTTTGCGCAGATTGGTAGTTGAAATCACGATATTTTGATACCCTGGACAACAGAATCCATCTCAATACATCGAACATTTTGCAGAGAAGGGAGGACCTGTTTGCCTGGAACTGGATAGACATTTTTTTTTTAACTGTTGTGATTTGTGTACATGGCGTCCGCTTGTGTTTATTTGCAAAGTGTTGCATGGTTTGTTGTTTGTTTGAAATTGGCATGATGCCCATGTCTTTGGCCCACTGGACGTGCCTGGCACCTTTGAGGATGTTGAGTTTGGTGAACAGCCTTCAAGCAGTTGGCATGGCCAGTTTGGCTGTCCTGGTGGTTTACCCGTCTTGGTGGATTTTCTCGAGCTTCATGGCAGGTGCGGCAAGCATGGGGGAGACATTTTTTTGATGGTGGGAACGCGAAACAACACATAGTTGGGAAAATAATGGGAACTGAAAACAGAAGACCAGTATGTATACTTACATTGATTTGTGTATACATTTGAACATCCAGTTTGTTTTCTGTTTTACCCAGTTTGGCAAAGACTTGAACCTATCTCCAAATACATAAACGGACCCAACAGTGTGGTCCTTAGATGTTCAAAACATTGCACATCGAATTCAGATGTGTTTATCTGACAGACTGGGACAGACCACGACCGCTTAGTGGCCCGTGGTGATTTTCTGAACCACACCGCAGGTGTGGCTGCTTTGGCATTGCTCCTGTGGCATACATTTCTCAGGAGCACCGGAGATGGCTCATTTGCAGAGGACGACAACGAAAGCGAGTCTGAAGTACTCAGCGATACTTTTCCGATCTAAAAATGGTGCGGATTTTTTGTGCGTGGGCCGTCGTGCGATTCGCGAGCGAAGGTGTATTTGCTGGATCAGGCATGAGACTTTGATCATTCCTGTCCGTAAATGAAGGCCACGTTCCACTGGTGTTTGCCTACAGGGTCATACGTTGGGATTGGGGGGAGGATTGCTTGCTTCTGCGTTGTGACGGTGGGAGAAAGATATCAATAGGGACACACGTTGGCTGAGCCATGATACTGCAATGAACCACGTGGTGGGTCAAAGAAAAATAGTGGGAAGACCGAAAGACCCCAAGACCCAGAAACCAATGTCAAACGAATGCGTTGCCTTCAAGCTGGCATCTTCTGGTGTTGGAGGGGCGATTTCTCTGCAGAAGTAATTCACGTCTCACTGACAGAGTTCTTGTCATTTTGCTGTGAAGAGGGGGACACGTTCTGCTTGTTTGCTCCAGCTTTGCTGCAAGTGATTTTCTTTGAGTGTGATTCACATGAGGCTTTGGCCACCTTCGAAGATGCCATAAAAGCCGTGGAGAGACACACGGAGGTGCATGATGTTTTCACATGTGTTCAGCTGCCACAGACTGCTTTAGTGTACAGTCTACAGAATCTAACATGACTGGTTAAGGTGTCCACTTTCTCAGTTAGACAGGACAGACCTGATTGACCATAGCTGAAGAGTTGTGATTGGATGTTTGGGCAAAACAGGTGCCGAGTAAGCGAGCACAACAGGTTGGGGGCATCAAATAGAGCTCGGAATGAATCTCATGGAAGGTTTGGAACGAACTGAGACTGAGACAATGCTTGATTTATATCTAGAATCGCCGTTTGACTGTTGGGTGCTTAATACTTCAAAATAGCTTTAGCTCAAGCTCCTCTAGATGGTTCTAGGATGTTCCAGGTATCCTTTTGGGATCCTTTGAGATTTGTTTTTGGGTCTTTCGTCGCCATAGGAACCCTTCTCCTATGACCCAGAACACTGTAGCAATCAGTTCAGCTTCCGGTAGGCCTCAATTCGGGAATATGCCAAGGTTCATTGGAGAACATCCGAATTGAGCATGGTTTTTGTAACAAGAAGCGACTAGGTTGGAGGCCATCGCTATTAGGTTGGAGGCCATCTCTTCCAGTAACAAGAAGCTTTTTAGATACTGCATACTGCTGAGAACATTCCCCAAAGCTTCATGACGCGCCCCGCCCGAACTTGAACCCGAACTAGAACAGTTCCCGTTCAGAAAACATGCTCATCCCCACCCGGCACGCATTCTGCAAAGCATACCAGGTCGTTGTCTTGGGTTGGAATGCCTGTCATGACCTACAGGTGGGTTTGCCAGCTTCGCAAATTTGAAAGTGAATGGCAAGTTCGTCCCTTTGTGTGAAACCCTACAAAGAAACAGACTAGATGTTTTTGTGCAGCCTCCGGTTGCGGAGCAAAGAGAGATTCAGCAAAGGTCCTTTCAGGGATACCATTTGTTGCTGTAGTAACTGGTAGTAACAATGCAATTTACCAATTATTCTGCTGTGCAGAGCCAACAAGTCCAGACACCCAAAACCAAAGACTTAGCTCCTGGCATTCTACTAGGAACAAGTATGCTACTAGTAACAAGAAGCTAGTAGGTTGTAAGTTGTAGGCCATCGCTCCTAGTAGCAAGAAGCTACTAGTAACAAAGGGCATCGCTAAGCAGTCCGAGAAGATGAGACGGTGAGACGCAGACAGCTCCCCATGACGGGGACACCTGGTGACGAAGCGGTCAGAGTGAGGATCCGCATAGTCGGAGTTGTCCAGGGTCTGTGAGGAGAAAAGATCAGGGTCATCGGGAGATTCTTGATAGGAAGTTTCAATCATGTCAGATTTCTCAAGATGCTTTGATGCATGTTGATGCCTCTTGTGATACGGAATGTCCAAAATAGTAAAAAGACTTGGGCCACAGATGTCCAAAACCCGGAATTCTGGCCTCATCTCGTTGCCCTGAGAGGTGATGCAGCTTTCTCAGGAGGTCTCGCACACTGTGGGCACCCTGACTTGCACACTGTGGGCGCTACAGATGGGGTCACCGAACTGGGGAAGATCCAATGTTTTACGCTTGCAAAAAGGCGAGTGAGCCACGGACCATTGATGTGTTATATTGATATATGAGGTTATGTGGTGCGAAGATGATGATGACGTTTTGCAGCGAGGTTTTGGGGATCATCCTGTAGCACTGAGAAGAGATGCCAACGAACAAAACCAGCTGTTATACTGTTATACTCTACTAGGAACAAGTGCCTCGCTACTAGGAGCAAGTGCCTTACTAGTAGGAACAAGAAGCTAGTAGTAACAAGTGCTGTTCCTTTCGGAACAAACTCTGGAAGAACAGATGAGACCACAGATCTACATCTCCCGAAGAATGGTATGCCGAAGAACGACGCTTTGCCCCGTTTTCTCAGCGTTTTCAGCGACATCGTGTACCCCAAATGGGGGACAAATGACGTACGTCGCAGGCTCCCAGCGGCTTCCAGATTGGTTCTTTGAGAAATTGTTTGTGCACTGGCAAAAACCCAGGGCTGTGCCACTACAGGACTTAAAACTGGATGGACATTTTTACTAGATCACCATACCAGGGGCTGGTTGACCTCCTTAGTCTTCCACTCTATAAATTTTCTCTGGATAAATGACGATGTGTTCACAGTCCTGGGGCAACTCATGGAGCTCAACAAGAAACGTCTTCGCAACGCGAAACGGGTCGCCGCTCATGGCTCGCTCAGGCAGCGACTATTTGATCGCCGGGGCGTCCAGGGGGAGCAGGAAGGGGCAGTGGTGGCACTTGTGACGCAGATCGCCGCAGTGCTCAAGATCATTCCAAAACCAAAGACCCACAGACCTGAAGCCGCCAGGCTTTCAGAGCCCAATTGCTTATACAATCTTGTGGTCAAGCCATGTCATGCTCCAAGCTCTTAAACATCGGGGAACTGCTCCAGACTCGATAGCGTTGGAGTTATGGCACGTTGGTGTCTCCCTGCAATGAAGCATAATCTTGCGTGTTGGTCAAGTGGCCGACCCATCACACTGGCCAAACGGAACACACCCATGCGGGATGCAGGGGGTTCAGCCCTGCTGTTTTGGGTTGGTTGAACATGTTTGAGCCGCAGGAATTTTGGTAGATTTGAAGACTCTTGCTAGTTGGTGGGTGATTTTCAAGTTTGTTGATCTTCCATTTGAACCAGAGTTTGATGGATTCAGATCTGGCTACCGGAGAAAGTCTAGACATTCACGGCCAACGCATCCGTGTTTGTTCCACTGGCGAGCGTCTATATTTCGCAAGTATTTGCTTTTGTCAATCCTTTGGTCTGCCAAGTTCGTTCCGCCAACGAGATTGCCTAGCGCCTCGGACGTGGTGACCCACCAAAAGGGTACCCTCAAGTGGGGATATACCAACATATCCCTAATTGAGTCTGGTCCGTATTTCACAGCTTTTTGGAGGGTATATCGTTGGAACATGTTGGAACTGTTTCTTCAATCTCAATCTGTTTTTGCGCCCCTTCGATTCCTGCCATTCGGGAGCGCACCCGAAGACGCGCGCCCACCGAGCCGAGAGCCTCGCATGCGCTTCGATGTGTCCAGGTCGCTGGATCGGAGGCTCCCCCTGAGGAGTGGTGGCCAAGCGAGGAGGAAGAAGCCTGGAGGACCCAGTGGCGCACGCCGCCGCCCCACGCGGGGCAGTGGCGAGGGGAGTGGTGGCAGGGTGGCTCCGAAAACAGCTGGAGGCATCCTAAACTAGTAACACGGGCATCGCTACTAGGAACAAGTGCATCGCTACTAGTAGCTTCTAGCTACTGGTAGTAATGCCCTTGTTACTAGTAGCGATGCACTAGTTACTAGTAGCTTAAAGCTGGAAATTGGATGAAAGTGGAGGAGCTAGGATATATAAGGAGATTAAACTGATAGAAGGAGTTTGGTTGCCCTGGAGTATCTAGGAAACCATGCTTTTGTGTGTTTTGGTGTTGTTTCTGTTTATCCAGGCTCGCGGCATTGAGCTTCTGCAGTTGAACAAAACCCAAGGCCCAAGTCGATGACTCGTTGCTCACCAGAAAGCCGAACCTCCCAAAGGGCCAGTCAGATGAACGTTTCAAATCTTAGTTCGGTTGCTCATGTCACATGTTGGAGTTTTTGACACGCAAGCACAACATCGCGATAAATTATCCATTTGTTGCAGTGTGGGTCTTGCATTTTTTGTTGGAAGATGTTGGAAGCGTAGGAGTTCAGTTTGGACAGGAGGGGAACAATGAATTCAGGAATGTGAGGGCTGACATGTGTGTTTGCATGTTAGACTTCTAACAGGTCGATGTCAGCTTCCCAGGCCAGGCACTTCTGATATCGTGAGAGATCGTGAGTCGGACCCTTGACACCTCGCAGAAGAGGTGGATCTTCCCACGGAACAGTCGGTTCTGCACCCGGAAATGATCGTCTGAACATCGATGGCTCACCCCGGCGGATCACGGTCTTTTCATAGCCGGCATCCAGTGCAGCTTCGTGGAGTGTCAAAGAACATCTTTCCCACACACACACGATTCACAACCCCCCCAGACAAAAGGATTGTAAAACCTCTTTTGCCACACGCGTTCACGATCAATGTGAGACGGAGCTGACAGCGTTCCACTGTCTAGCTAACAGAACACCCGTCCCCCGCCTGCACACAGGCAAAACAAAGAAAGTGAAGGACGGAAACCCGAAACCCTTTTTTCCAATCAAAGCAAACTTCTCGAGCTCGACATTGGATATCCAAGGGGCAGCACCGGTAATCAAACCAGATGGCATGGTCTTGCCCCAGGAATTGTGCAGCCGAGGGTTATCTGCTCCAGGATCGGGTGAGTGATCAAGTTTACGGCGCACGAAAGCCAGACATCCCTGTAGCCGCTGAATGGTCGCCCGGAAAGTGCAGTGTTAATCTTTAAGCCCAGAATAAGAGAAAAAACAAGAAGTACAAAAAGCATTGCGAGTTCTGCGTAGGAAATCTGTAATTATGGGTAGTTGGCCCACGGCACATATACGGCCGTGGGTTTTTCTACCATTTTTGGTGATTTTTCGTTTTCTACAATGCAACGTGTGGGACTGGGGTGGGGTGAGGGGGGCATGTTAACGTTCGGTTGCACTTGCTGCGTGAAGTTGATGCTACGTGTGCGAATGGGGTGGGGTGGGGTGGGGTGGGGCAACTTGCTAGGTCCTAGGTGAAGTTGATGCTACGTGTGCGAATTGGTTGGGGTGGGGTGGGGCATGTTAACGTTCGGTTGCACTTGCTACTTGCTACGTGTACATTGGAGGAGCTATGTTAACGTTACATTGGAGGAGCTCCTGTGAAGAGTGAAAGAGTCGCACACATGTCCGACGCCAAAAGTGGCTGCATAGTTTCGAAAATGCTTCGAAATCACCACTTCGCCTCAGCGAAACTCTGATTTTATCCAAATCTGCATGGAACTCACCATGATTCCAATGATGAAGTGTCGCTCCGCATATTTGGACTTGAATACCCCACGACCATCCTTGATTACCCCACGGCCGTCTATGCGCCGTGGACCTAGTTCTATTGATCAACATTCTACATGACCCCACAAAGGCAGTTCTGCGGCTGGGGGCCATCTCCTGGGGGCCACCGGGTCGCGTCACCTGAGTGTCTTGCTTGAGGTGGCACTGGCCGAGGAGGCCGCTTCAGAAGAGCAACCCTTCCGAGGCGCCGGGCTGTGCGGTTCGGCGCGAGCGAACCGCGACGGTGACGATCCCAACTGACAAGTGACGAACGTCGACGAACGTCGACGAACGCTCAAAGGATTCATCACCATGAAAGGATGATAAAGGATTCATCATGAGTGTCTCTTTTTGCGCTTTTTGATGGGTGCTTGCTGAAGGGAATTCTAAGTGGCTGTTTGCTGGTTTGTCCTGGGGTCCAGAATGGTCCAGGTGTTCTCCATGGCAAAGTGGTAATGGTTGGGAGGTATATTTTTTAAAAATTTTAGTTGTCAAAGAAGTCTATCTATGGACACATAAATACATGTGTTGGGAGGTATACAGGGTTGGAAGGTTTGGTTTATGTCTGAATCAGAATGATCAGGGAAGGCTTTGTGCTCAGCAGCCTCCAACCAAATCGAAACCCATATTGTGAAGTACAGAGTTTGAAGGCATGAATTCCACATCAGCTAAACCAATTTGATGAGGTGCTCTTGCAAGCCTTTTGTTATGCCGACTAGCTCAACGTCAGCCACCACCTTTAGCGTAACTGAGGCTCGAAGGCTCCAAGACGGCGGCCGAAGAGCTCGGTGTTGAGGACCGAAGAAGTTCTAGACCATTCCCCCCCTCCCTGAAGGGCCCAGAAATTGGAAGTCCATTGGAAGAGGTTCTCCTGGACATATTTGGTGTTTGACTTTGGGAGATTCAGTCCGTCAGGGCTGTGCGTGGAGGGTCTTTGTGTGGAAATGAGTGCACCCCAAATGGAAAGGTGAAGAAACCGGTTTCTGTTCCTTCAGGAGCACTATATATATCCAGAGTTTCTTTACATTACACCATTGGGAGCTAAGTAAATGCAATTTAATATGTATTCGATCGGATAAGCCGTTATTGAGTCTGAATTTACGCAATGCCCTGGAAAGCATCAAAGCCCCAGAAAGGGAGAATTCCTGATGACCTGCCAGCTTTTGTTTTTGGCCAACTGGGGCGCTTTGACAAGACATTTTTGTTGGCTCGGGGATTCTTTTTGGAACCTTGCTGCAATGGACAAGGTCTTTTGGCAATTGATGTATTTTGCTGCGTCCCGCAGTGAAGGGTGCTGTCTTTGTGTTTCGTTTCTTCGATTTCTTCAAGCTGCCAGCTATGGTTCTTCTTGTTCTTTCTTCTGTAAGTTGTGCTGAGCCCAAACCAACCAACCCGCCACACCGCCAATCTCGGAGCAGGTGACAGGCGTTGAACAGATCCGAATCGTCTTGAGGCCTTGAGGAGTTTTTTTAACTAAAGAGCCAACATGAACTTGAACCAGAACCGGAGGGCTCCAACTGCCTTCATTTCGGTGTTTGTCATGTTTTACGGGTTTCCAAGGCTTATGGGCAATGCAGAATCAAGAGAGACCCTCCCTAACGGGCCCAGACACTCCATGTATGCATGGTATATATGCCTACATTGACCCCTGGAACCACCCCCATATTTCATATATACATGGAGTGTTTGGGTTCAACGATTTGAGGGTTCGATGTTCGTGTCGCGGAGGATTGGCAAAGATGGCAGTCCTAAGGACCTTGCTCCAGCTTGGAGCCCCAGTTTTTGTGCAATTGGTGCGTGGCTGTGGCACGTGGTGTGGCCTTTTCATGATGTCCACCGAGTGAAATGGCTTCAGGGAAATGGAGGTGACTTCCAGCCCTGTTGATTGCTTTGAGCTTGCGAACTGTTGCTGCTCCTTTGGAGAAGCTTTCAAAACCTGTGATGAGGGCTTGGATTCGTTGCAGGGCAGTTGAAGAATCTTCAGCACGAGGTATTTTGCGGGGGCTGAGTTGTGAAGGCTGGGTTTGTCATAGAGGCATTGTAGTTTGGGGATCACCAAAGGTTGGAGATGTCTTTCATTTTAAAACGTGTATCAGTTATCAAGTGCCTTCTTGAGTATTGCATGTGATCAGCTACTGCTCCTGCGTAATTATCCCACAAATTCCTTGAGCTTATATTTAAAACATTAAATCATGATTGTGTGATTTTCAGTGAACCAATCCTGACATGTTCCGTCTGGCTGGCGGTTTGAGATGGTTTGAGGGTTTCATAGTGTTTCATTTTGTTTCATGTGCTGGAGCCTTGGTTGAAGAAACTTCAAGTGGAACCTTGGTCTCCTGGAAGATCCAAATTGGAGGGTTTGCTGCACCTCCATCTCCTGCGTCAGCCGCCTGGGATCGAGCCGACGCTGCTTCTTCTCGCGGCTCCGCTCCGCCGCGAAGAGCGGACGCTGCTCCGTAACGAAAGGTCGAAAAGAGGGAAGGAGGTGGATTTGCTTTGTACGGTTTATAGTGTTTGTAGATTGGAAAGAACCAGAAACTAGACTTGAAGACGTAATTATAATGTAGTGAGGCATTTTCTGGCCAGGACATTGAGATGAAGTCAATATATAGCAAAACAAATCCATAAACTACGCCACAGACACGTCCTCAGAGAATTGCTATGAATTGATGCTTTCTGCTCACAGATTCTTTGCAAAGCCTCCGAAGAGAGACAAGAAGTAAAAACAACACAAAATACACTTGTTCATGTCCTCATCATTTTGTTTAATAATATAAACATGTGTAATGTATGCATCTTGTATGCATGTTGTTTAATCATTTTGTTTAAACATTTTGTTTTATAATATACTATATATATTTATATGTTGCATTTCGTTGAACCCATTCAGTCGTAAAGTCGTCACCTGTTGAGGCCATGCGTCCAGGTGGCTTGGTCCTGTCCATCCTGTTGGCTCTCCTGGTGGCTCACCGGACCTTCGTACCAGGTCGCTTGGTGGGAAGTGCTCCAGAGTGTGTTCCAAGACATGTTCACTTTCAAGTTCTGACTGCTTGAGGGAATTTACATGAATTGAACCCTCCCCAAAAAAAAACAGTTTTTGATCAGAGTTTCCACTCCAGATGATCCAGATTCAATTCATGATTTGCATGATCTCACTAATAAGACTCATTCAGAGATCCACCCTTGTAGCCCATGATAGCACCACCTTGACAGGCGCGGCGCCCTCTACCCCCACGCAGCGGACATCCACGCAGCTCACGCGACCACCGCACGGTGCGTCGACCACCGCGCGGGCTGAAGGAGGTGGTCCTGAGCGGCCGCCAGGTTCGGCACGGCACCTCGGGTGCGGAGGTGGATCGAGTGACATGGGATGACCATCTTGGGAGTGGCGAAGAAAGCTCTTTTGAGCTTCCCAAGGCCACAGTGGGAAGATTTGAGAATAAAGGAGCAGACTGATCAGAAAGCATGCTGCCAACAAGTAAGGTCAATATGAAGAAAAGTTGTTTGTTTGTTTTGTTTTTTTAATGAAGGTTCTTGTTGCATACTGTAGTGGGATCTTGTTGATCAAGGTTGTAAAAACTAGAGTCTGGAACGTTCATTGAAATCACGTATTGTAAATAGTGCAATCTCAGCGATCAGTGATGTCGAGATGCAGAATGATCAAAAAGAGACGTTGTTACATGGTGCAGTCAAGGCAACATGGCGGGGCTGATGATGTTGGTCACCAAGCATTGTCCGTCAGCCAGTGGCTTCCGTTGAAACCATGAGATGAGTGGGGGAACTTCCTGAAAAAACCGCAAGAAACGGAGTTAAATCATTTTTGCAGATCTCTGTTAAACGTTTAACAGAGTTAAGTTTGTTTTTGCTCATGATTGTCAGATCATGTCAGGTCCTAAAGCTCGCTGAAAACGCCAACTGTAACAACCCTCCAACAACACACAAAAAAGGAACTGGTCAGGACATCTGAATACACCACACCAAGCACGCTCCCAAGCTGACCTGTCAGGAAATCGAAATGGAAGTCGAAGTCCTCGATGGTGCCACAGCCTCCCTGGGTTTCTTTGTCGCTTGGTGTGGGAAGTGACTCACGCGCGGTGTGGAAATGGAGGCAAGTGTCGCGGCGAGTGGCGCAGGCCACTGCACAGTGGCCTCCTAGGGAGCACAAAGATTGGATGGACGTGATATGCGATGAGTTCCGAGGCGTTCAAACTATTTTTTGCAAGGTGTTTGTTTGTTCCTGGGTTCCTAAAGGCTTTGTGCTTCTCGTGAGTGGTGAGTTTTTCGTGTTTTGTCAGACTTCGGAAGATCCCACTGGGCGGGATCTTCCGGGTTGTTGAGTCCTATTGGGCGGGAGGTCGGCAGAAACGGTGAGATGAAGTGACTGGACTCACGATGTTGGATGTTTAGTAGTCACGGTCAGAGTGATATGTGCCAGATGGAAGCAGTACGAAGCAGTTAAGCCACCCTTTTTTGGACCAAAGCTTGTCCACGAATCACTCAGCATGACTCAGCACTCACGCAGTTTTCAGGTCTTGGACTGAGAAGTGTCGGAAGGGCATCCGGCGTCGAACGTCCCAGGGGACCGGACGTCAGAAGGAATGAAATGGGAACGTCGACATCTTTCATGTCGAAACCGTAAGGTGGTTGTTGGGATTTTGATCTTCATTTGCCTTCAGGCAGACGGGAGCCAGTGTGGGATCATGATGGATCATGTGGGGGTGAAGATGATGTGCACTCCTTGACCAGAAAGGTTTGGTCAGCTTCAATTTGATTTCTTTGTGTTGTGTGTTGTTTTGTGTTGTGTTGTTTATAAATATGTGTTAATTCGTTTGTTGGTGATGTTTGATGTGAGAAGCGTTCGGCATGTCGTCCTGGTCCCGTTCCGTTCGCTGTGGGCGGAAGCTGTCGCGGGGACTCGGAAGAACTGACACTCGCGGTTACGTGGATGGCATGGCCCCGAGTCGATTCGGATTCGGATGACCATGAGTTGTCCGAATTCCAAACAGGTTGTTCGGATTCGGATGACCATGAGTTGTCCGAATTCCAAACAGGTTGTGCCATCCACATTCGATTTGTCTCAAAAAGTATCCTTTTTCTGAAACCGGACCAAAGCCGGAGGGGTCTTCCTGGTTTAATGGGGAGTCGAGATCGCCCAGGCTTGCCACACGGAATTTTGTGGCTCCCCAAAGTCCTGTTACCCGCCTACCCGAGCATATATATCTATTATACAATGTATTACAATATAAAGTATCGTTATAAATTATTATCGTTCTGATGCCACGACCAAACTACTTTGGACATTTGGACATCCAGATCTCCAGATTTTCACACAGAGAGCTGCCGCCCGCAGGGTGAAGTGAACCAGGGTGCAATTGGAAATCCCACCGCTGCATACTGAGCAGACTGGCCCGCCGCAGGGTCCCATTCACACACCGAAATGGTCAATTACACATTGACTCGAAGAAAGCGCAAAAGACAGGTGCTTGTTGCGTTTGTTTGGAAGGCATGTGGACCTAGGTGCACCACAGGTAACAGATCACTCCCCTTGACACACCAAATTCTGCTTGAACGATCCAGCGTCGAACCATTGGGGCCTTTGCGCTCACGAAGCGTCGAGCGAAGACCGCTCGCATCGCTTCGGTGAGCGTCTCATATCGGTTAGCATCTTCAGTCGGTGTGGCACCAGCACTCGGTCCAAAGAGCAGAAGGTAAAGGCCATACTGGTAGAAGTCAGCACATGAGCCAAACAGATTCGAAGGGATGTGCTTGCCTGCGCAATCTAGATCATCCCTGGCCACCCCACATGTGCCACATGAATAAACAGTCATTGAATACCCCTATGGCCCTTTGGGAAGGGCTCTTGGAGATGACCTGATGGAGGACCAGCTGGCTATGAGGATATACTTAAGCCGCTTTAGTAACTCTATATTAGTACATCGATCATATATCATATATATAATTGTATAATATATATATATACACTGTATATCATTTGAAGCAGTATGTCACAACTTTTGGTTAAGTCCCTACTAAGCTCGACTAAACTGTGCTGTTGCTCATCTCAGGAGTAACCCTTTGAATGATCGCCCTCATTCGCCCAAGCACTTCTGCCTTTTAAGATTTTTAAGGCAGAAGCCAAGTAATGCCACGGATTTTACTTCATCATTGATGTTCCATGCAAATTACTTGACTTAAAAAGCAAGGCAGGTCCATTGAGGTTTCCAAGCCCAGGATTGCCTTAAAAACTTAATAGAAACAATAAGCTACTAGGAACAAGTGCATCGCTACTAGTAACAAGTGCCTTACTAGTAGTAACAAGGACGCTACTAGTAACAAGAATGGAATTTGTGTGACAGCCCGAGCCTTTGCCTTCGCCTTTCGGGACAGCCCGAGCCCGACTCAGTTTTCGGCGGAAAACCTTGGAACGATTGGAGCGCGGCGGAAAGCCCGTTCAGATGCATAGCGTGTGATCGTCCGCCAGGTGCTTTATTTGTCTTGCCATGTGTTTATGTGGTTGTTTGTAGGCAATTACCCAGACATGGTGTACCCATGTTACACTTCTATGTGCTCGTCGGCACGTGCTAGGATCCCTGTTTCGTTGTGCGAAACAGCGATCCTATGGGGTCGGCCGCCCAATGGTCGAGGCTCTCTTGGCTGGTCTACGTGCTGCTGGTTGTGGCACCTCCTTAGCCCTTTTGGTGGCTCGGAACCAGGGGATGGACAGGGGAACCTTGTTGAAGAGTTGGAGGTGAAAGGTGTTTTGAAGGTATTGAAGGTGTTGTGTACTGCGAATTATGTGTTTGTTGTTTGTGTGGTCTTAACGTATATGTAAGGTGAGATTGTTCGGTGATTGGTCCTTGTAATTAGGCAATTGAAATCAGTTTAGAAGGAGTTCAAGAAGTTGATTCCAAAGTTGTGTTTTGTTTCCTTCTATTCCATGGGACATCAGCTGGGTTTCCGGGACGGTAACTAGAGGTGCTTCAGGCATAGCCAGATGGCAAGCCTGTTGTGAAATCTGTCAAACATCAACATAGTTGTTCAAAAAATTAGCCGCACCTTTAGCCGAGAAATCCATTTCCTGCCCGTTCAACTAAATGAAACACAGATCATGATGGCAATACTGAACCTTGGAATGGGCTGGTTTTCAGCGCTGGGTTAGGGGTTCATTCTTGTTCGGGCCAAGTGTAAAGCAGCTGTGCAAAACAGGTGGACTCCCATCACGGAAAAAGCGTCCACAAGTGACCAGGGGCAGAACACGAACGTGACATCGGTATGACCGATGGATGCATGTTTTATGCATTTATATGACATGTATTTTTAAATACAGGTTTCTCCACAAAACACCCGGTAGAAGAGATACATAGAAACACCTTGAACAATAAGGGGTTTTGCAGAGTCTTTGTATGCTGAAACACACCACGAACCCTCATCCGAAGGCTGTTTTCCTCCCAACCCGCACCATTCATCACGATGCATCACCAAAGGTCGTTTGTCGGGCTTTTCAAAGCAGACGCCCGGTCTCCCTCCTGCACTGGTCCCTTGCTGGAATGGCGGAACATGGCGGAACGGAGATTTGATTTGTTGTTTTTGTTCTTTGGTCTAGTAGCAAGAATCTAGAAGCTACTAGGTTGGAGGCCATCGCTATTAGGTTGGAGCTAGATTATTGCAGGCTCCTTGATGAAAGAGCATACTTTGTGGATACATGTTTGTCCATGCTACCCAGGCATGTTGGGAGTGTTCTAATGTGTTCCAGTCAAAATTTGAGACATTCCGCAGTCGAAGCATTGCTTCGAATGACCCAAAAGAGCAGTCTCAATATCGGTCGTCCTTGACCGATAAGGAAACACAGTGTTTCTTTGTAGAAAACTTAAGTTGCGATCCCCTGCCCTCACTGCAGTACATGGTTCCATACATGGATTCCCGATGTCAGTAGCGGCGCACACAACCAGGGATGTCTCGTTTCGGCACGGCTTCCGGGGGTGACTGCTTTAGTTTGTCAGATCGCGTCGTGGCTGTGGCAGAAGCGTCCTTGAGCTGTTACCCAAAGTAGAACCATCAACCTAGAACACTGCGATGTCGAAGGTGTTGGGGTTTGCTGCAACCGCATCTCTCAACACCAGACGCTTCAGCATGAGGTGCTTGCAGCAAGAGGACGGACATATTCTGTCACTGTGAGCACTGTGATGTTGTCCAATATTTGTTGTGCTGCCCACCAGGTAGTCAGGCGTTTAATTGGAACTGGAGGGACATGATGTTGCACCATCAAAAGTGCCGGCTTTTGCTTTTTGGACACGTACAATAGAGTTTGGTGATCAGGATTGAGATTCCACCACCACAATCCTGAGCAGAAGGGTCTCAGGCTGTGCTACCTAGGCCATGCTAGGGCCAACACTGGACCGCCAGAAGTCACCGACTCTGCAACAGGATTATCAGCACTGGAAGATCTCGGTCTTGCCCTACTCTTGGGATCCACGACTCGTGTATTGGCAGGACAGATGTGGAGACAGATACCACCAAACGATCACAGCAATGCTTGGAAGATGGGAGCTTCGTTAGTGTGGAGTGTTTACCCAAGACCCATGCTCGAATGAACATCAGTCCTTTGCTGTTCGTTCTTTGCCCTAAGGTCTTCATAGATCTTCCCTCTTGCCAAAGGTAGATTCATTCTTGGTCTTGGAAGTCTCAAGCTGTTTGCTTCAATTCAACGGATTCCAATGGATCGACATCGATCAGGATCGAATTCCTCTTGGGATGATTTGTCCTCCGCGTTAGACGGGGCCCCTCTTTCCACTGTCAGAGTCATCTACTGTGCAGAAATTTGAGATATTGTAATGTAGACTCTTGATTAATCAACCCCCCCCGGCCCCCCCCCCCTCAACAACCAGGGCCTCCAATATAATCTACAAGAAAACTAATCAAAGGACCAAAATGAAAAGAATCCTTATTAAAATCTTCTTGGCCTTCTCTGGCATTATTAAACATAAAAGGGAATCAATGAAATCTCAAATTGAAGACATTTGGAATACTAAAGTAAAAGGACATCAATAAAGTGAAAATGGAATTCTCAATAATTTAATGGACATCTGAATCCAAAGACCTTCAAAAGCATCCAATACTTTTGATTAAGGGTTTTGTAAAGAAAGTGTGCACTGACTGTTGGAAAGTTTTGGAAAGCTTAAAGACTAAAGAGCTTAGGTAAGTAAAGCAAATCAAAAGGAAAAGAAAGGGAATGAATACAAGTTTACCTAAAGCAAAATATTTTTTGAAGCCTGAAATCTCTATGACATTATTCTAGGGGCCCCCCTAAATAATGTCAGAAAGCTGCTTGCTGGACTACCCCCTTTGTTTGAATGATTTTTTTGTTTTTTTTTCAATACTTTTGAATAAGGGATTTTGTAGAGAAAGTGTGCACTGACTTTTGGAAAGTTTTGGAAAGCTTAAAGACTAAAGAGCTTAGGTAAGTAAAGCAAATCAAAAGGAAAAGAAAGG